ATGGCTTTTAAACGATCACACCCTCAACTACTTACTTTCTTTTTTTATGCTCGCACTTCTTCTCATGTGCAAAGTAAGAGGATCCGCGAGGGTCGAATATGTCAGAGCTAAAAGTGCCCTGAAGAAATGCCGAAAGTCTTTAATTTTTTTTTCTTCTTTCTTTGCTTCTCTCTTGTTCTCAAGACTTCAGAGTCTTCATCAACATAGAAATTAATTAATTCTTATTACAACTGTTGCTTCAAGTTTTTTTTTGGAAAAAACATTCAATTCAATAAATACCTAACAATTATTTGTGACTTAATAATTTTTTATAAATTATTTATTTAAAATAAATAACTTTTGTCTGAAGACTTACAAAGAATCAGTCACGTAAATATTCATAATTAAACATGCATTATCTATTAGATCATAAGCAATTTCTCTGAAATCATCATGAAATACTCTAGAAAATTAAGATAAAATTCTTTTTTCGATCAGAAATGAATTTTAATAAATATCTATGTTGAATATTTTTATCAATTTGACAAGAATTCTATTGAATTATTGTATTTCTTAATTATTTAATAGCAATAATTTGAATAAAAGCAAAGATTGTTAAAATTCACAAATTTTAACAATCAATATTTTGTCTTTTAAATAGATAAACAACTTTCTATGATCATTTAATAATTTTTTAATCAAGTTATATGTCTATTACAATATCGTTTACCATTTTTTAAAAATGACAAATTGATATTTGAAAACATGATGAAAATAACTGAATTGAAGAGTCTTCTAGTTTTCTTCATTTGAAATATCACATAACTTGGCATAGAGTCAAAGATAAATATTATATAGCTGGTCAATTAATTGGAAATTAATTTTTGACATAGTAAGTTATACAATAAAAAATACTGATCAAAGATCATGATGTAGAGATAAAAAAAATCCTTTACTTAATCTTTATGACATGTTTTGTTATGAAACGTTAAAATTCTCGACATCTGACGAAAGATTAACATAAATTAAAAGTCGAGGAATGAAAGTAAAAACTAGTCTTCTTTCTTAGCTCGATTATGACAAATTCGAGTAAAGATAACGTTAAGCTAAAGTTAAACGTCGATCTCTCTTAGGGGTAAAGTCAACAGCAACAAGTTGTATAGAGCATTTTTTGGGCGTTTATATATTTGTCGGTACCTTTGACAGTAAGACTGGTTACATCGTACAACGACAATCAGAAGAATAAGAAGAATAGTGAGTCGGACAAGTTGCATCTTTCGAATAATACCTGTCGGCTCTTTTAAATTCTTGTCACCTCTTATAGAAGCCTTTTCTTTTCCTCTTTTTTACCTTTTCTTTTCTCACTTAACCCGAGTAGAGCCGACTAAAATCTATGTTTGGCAATATTTCACAACGCACGCCCAAATGATATAATAAAACACGACGAGTACACCTGTCGAATTTCACGCAGTACCAACATTTTGTCCTTTACGTAATAGGTGTATAGTCTTTTTAATTTATTTCATATTTATGACGTTGCTTTAATTTCAATCTCTATTTTTAAACTCATCATCATTTTTTACCCAGATTTTTTATTTTTATTCCTCAATAATTGTATTAAAAGAATTCTGAAAAATTAATTGATTTCAAAAATAATTACTGTTTTCAATAAAATATTATTTATCTTATTTTTTAATATGATAATAATTTACCTCAATGATTAGATGCTTCATAAGAGAGCTTCTTTATTAAATTGCTGAAAATTAAATTGATTTATATTAAATATCCAAAGCTATCTAGACAATTTATTAAAGCTATTATCAATTTAAACAATAACTGAATTCTACTTACCAATTATTGGTCTTTAAGCTGATTTAATTCTAATTACAGCGTTGATAATTGTTTAATCAACATACTTATTCATTTATTTATTGAATTAGTCAATAAATTATTTGAAACATTTACCAATCTGTCAGCTAGCAAAGCTGTTATACAATCAAGTTTTAATTTATTAGACCAAACATAAATTAATTTTATGAACCTTGATCAATGAGCCAGTTTTATGTTACATATGTTGAACATTTTTTATGTTTCGACCAAAATTTTCCTTCTTTACAAATTTAATCAGGTTTCCCACCATTGTATGACAGATAATCTTAAAGAAAAAAGTAAATAAACGAAAGAATTGTATAACTTAACAGTGTAGATGCATTTCCTTCGCTCTTGTTCAATCAAAATTTATTATTCCTCCCACTCAAAATGGGTAATAGTGGACGGACCGATTCTAGTGACTTTTTGACAAATGTGATGTGTTCAAAAGCGATACATAGTCAAACGAATTTTCAAAAGATGCCGCTGGGAATATTTGTGCACTCCAATTCCGTTTTTTCTTCCTCTTCTTTTTCATTTTTCTCTTTCATCATGTCTATTTCCCTTCTATTACATTGAATGATACAAGCCGCAAGGTTATGTTCACTATAGGTGCATTGTCACTGTAAAACCTACACATCAAACAAGCGGTACCTTTTATTGTCATTGTGTTTTTCCTGGTGTCTCTTACCTTACCTCTATTTAAGATACATAGTGAGGTGCACTATTTTCTTTCCATCTTTGCGTTACTACAGGTCGTACTGTGAGCGACGAAAACATCGACACCTTTTATCTCCCCTAGATTCTTTTGATTTCCTGCCGGTCAGTGTCCAAACACCATCGACTTCCCGTGGATACAATTGTACAACAACGCAATGAAGAGTCAACTTTGTAATACCGCAAAATATTTTTCTCACGCCTCTAACAAAACGATTTATTGACAGCGGTAGACACAAGTGAATTTTTCAACACATTTTACATTTGTGATTAAAAGTATCTTTGCAGAAAATTTTCTTGGTCGTCAAACTTCTATTTATTCTTCATCAAATCCAATTTCACCGGGTGTCTGGTTTCTTACATTTTAGTCATGGTTTGCTTTGTTGAAAGTTGGAATAAAAGATGACTTCCTGTAATAAATAAACAATCTTTTATTTATACATATAATTTTATTTGAAGTCTAGACTACAATGTTTATAAGCTCATAATACACTAGATAAATTGAATCAACACTTGATGGCCTAGATGTTGCAAGATAAAAGACTTAAAAATTTTTTCTTCATTCATTACCATTTAATCCAGAAGATTGGTGTTCTGAATATTTTATAATAAAATTCACTTGATTATAATTTTAATCGAAAAGAAAATATTGAAATATTTATCTGGATTGAAATAAAATGTTTCAATTGGAATCTGATGAGGCTCAGAAATTCTCCGGCAATGTACAAAAAGCAGTTTTCTGCTATAGAATTAAAATAGGATTAAACTGTTTATTTATTCGCCACGAAATAATTCCATCGTCATTCTTAACCATATAGATCTAAAGACGAGTACCTGAGTGAATGGATCGATGTCAAAATAAGATCTAAAGTACGATCGACAGAGTGGAAGATTGAAGCGTTTGTCCATCGAATATCATAACAAACTTACAACTGAAAACTGGACGATCATCTTGTTGAAAAATCCTACTCGGTATTTTCAATTGACCAAAAGATGAGCGATTGTATCGCACGCTATCAAGCATGAGATTTAATTTTCTCTCGTATAGAAAGGAAAGAATATCGCACGAGACCTTTTAAAAGTCTCTCAATGCACACTCTGGGGATCAAAATAATTCCAATGGGAATATATGAGAGCTAGATTAAATTATAAAAGAATCAAAAGGAGAAAAAAAAGGGAAAAATGGATTTAAAATGACAATGGAATGAAAAATCGACTTAGCAAAATTGTTTGTGAATTGATACTTTAGTATTTGCTTTATTTATTTCTCTTATTTAGTCTTATTCAATACAATTCAGTTTGCACATAAGTGAACATCACTAGTATAAATTCATAATATGCTCAACGATGATTAAATAAGCATAAAAAATATTTTCATTTCCAACTCCTTGAAGTACTACTCACAATAAGAGTTTCCACATGGCAAAGCAAATAAACTGAACGTAAAACTGGAGTAAAATAATTATTCAAGACTTATTTCCACTGACAAAATGGCGTACATTACACAAGACGAGGGAAGTCTTTTACGACAACATTTTATGAATGCCTTCAAAGAGCGTGACGCATGTATACTCGGACCATTTCGTTATGAATGCATGCAAGAAGTATGAAAAACTAAGTTAAGACTCGTTCAAACTTTATGATAAAATTCAACAGACTTTCACGCACTGAAAAATGAACTCCATAGAACAACGATATTATTTACTGATAAACAGTTTTATTCTGAAGCTGATGTAGTGAAAAGTATCATTTTCATTCTTGATGGAAGTGATATCATTTTTAAAATAACTTATCTTTTCTTGAAGGCAGTTTTCAATTAAGAAGCTATAATTATATGATTCAGTATGAATCATTTTATAGTTGAAGGAATTCTTTTAATCACATGTCAATTCATGTTTTTCTTCCACTTCAATGCAGACATACAAGCTGTATTGAAGATAATAAATGATACAGAGAAAATAAATACACTAATATAGAAATGTTTGGGTGGTCATCGATGCTTGTTACAGGAGGACCATCATTGTTATTAATGATCGAAAGAAAATTTACACATTTAATTTTGTGTACCACTTTCAGAAGATTCATTCACATTATTAGATTAAGAATCATTCAGAGAGATTGAATTAAACTGAAAATTACATTAATATTCAATTCTATTTCTATTACTTAAATATTTTGATGATTATTATTAATGAAAAATCAGATAAATGATATCTATTGAATATTTTAGAAAATTTTTCTTAATCTAGGTTCAATAATGCCCTCAATATTATTTCATCAATAATAATTTTAACGTTGGATTCATTTCAAATTCAACAATTGATGTTATTTTAGCTACACTGATTATTTCTGCTTTCTTTCAAGTTAAGTTGTTCAAATATTTATTTTTTATATTTGCCCAATACAATAATGGTCCAATTCTTATATTGTTTTAGGTCGTTGTGATGACTCAGACACAGAAAGTGAGCCAGGTATCCCATTGAAAAGAAAGCAACGTCGTAGCAGAACAACATTTACTTCTGCACAATTGGAACAATTAGAAGCAGCATTTCAACGAGCTCAATATCCTGATGTTTATGCTAGAGAAGAGCTTGCTCAGAGAACTGGATTAACAGAAGCAAGGATCCAGGTAATATATTCCCTCTAAGCTTATTACTCCATCAAATCTATAAGAAAATAAATATATATTAGAACCATATGGTTTACATTCCTGCTTATTTGGATTATAGGTTTGGTTTAGCAACCGCAGAGCTCGGCTTCGTAAACACGCAGGAAGCATCGCCCACTCAGTTCCTAATCTGCCGCTGACACCTTGCCAATATACTCCGTCCCACGAACTCGGCCAATTACCACAAATGTCTTCAGGAATATCTCAAGTTTCTCCTGGGCTTCATCCACCACCAAGTGTATCTACGCCTCTACATCAAGCACATACAACTGTTCATCAGGCAGTTAGTTCACTTGGTCAAATGCCTAGTACTATGGCTCAAGTACCAACAACCACTATGAGTACTAGTGTATCACTTCAAGGGCATTCCGTTGCTATTCCAGGATCACTCACTAGTCTTTCAGGGCCTAATAATACTATGCAAATTGGCCAAGTGCCTACTATTCAACCTCCTACGGCACACGCAGCTCCAACATCTCTCTCGCATAATACTGGTGAGTAAACTAGTAATTTTGTTTATGAAAATTACTATACTGAGAAAAAAATACTACTAATAGCAAAGAAGCACCGTTGAATCTGTTACGTATTCAAATAATGATGATAGATGGTGATGTGTGGTCGGTATTCAAGCTTTGAGTAAAGTCAGTTGTATAGTTTTAGAATAAATTACATTGCTTCGTTCAGTTATGTTTAACAAAAGAAAGTAATAAATAATAAACTTCCAAGTTTATTTAATGGGAAAGCTACTCAAAGAACTTTAGATTAATATTTTTTATTTAAATATAATTATTGTGAAACTGATTAAAAAAAATTTACTGATGAAAACCAACCATGGCATGACCGTTGCATTCACCATTTTTACATCATCATATTTCAACTTTTTTTTGCATCAAGCTTTTTTCTCAGTGTAAATAATGATGAACAGAATGGCAATAACATATTTTAATAATTTATTAGGTAACTCAGACTGGTCAAGAACGCAATTAGGGTGGGGGCAATTCAACCACTTTCAAAGTAGTGATTACTCGGCCAGTCATTCCAATCATCATGGACCCAGTCATGCGAGTCTGGGAAGTCAAGTACCAGGAGCTACTAATCCTACAGTCACTGAATGGGGCTATGACCAAAGTTATGATTATAGTCAACATGCACAGCTTAATTACCATCGCAGTGTTGGTGGAATATTTTAGTATTTTTTTGCAATTAATCTTTTACGGGAAATTTGCTAAACATAAATTATAATATAATGATGTAAATTGATTGTATATAATACATAAATATTTTATTGTAAATTAATTAATTAACTGCTTAATAATATACTAATATGAATCTCAACTTATTTGTCTTTTCTTCTTGAAATGTTATCTCATCGATGATATCATAGTAAATCATATAATAAAATAATTACTCTAGCTTCGACGCCACTAATTTTATCTTGATAAATGAGTAGGAGTTGACATTATTTTCTAGAGAAAATATGAAATTTCATGTTCTTAGAATTTTATCTTGACATTTACATAAGTACAGAGATTAATTGTTATTATAAATACCCACTACATGCTATTTATTCTTCCTACATATTAATTTATTAACGGATTTGCTTTTAAGTTTATCTCAGAAAATTGGAACAAGAGAATATGTATTTACTTATCGCTTTTTCTGGGCAAATATTTAAACTTTGACGATTTGTCGGTACATTAAACTAGGATTTAACTTTTCTCATTTAAGATAGCTATTAAGATATAAATACTAGTAAAAATACTCTTAAACTATTCTCATACGTAAAACAATCATGAACAAGTTGCTATTCCTCCTATCATTGATTGTAAGTATTTTATATTTCAAATCTTTAAGATTTATTTAAAAATTTTATTCAGTAAATCATTAGTTTTGAATCTTATCAAATAATTTGCAATAAAATTCATTAATTTTAGAGCATTTCTTGGTATTCAACAACTTCACAACTAGTTAATAGCAATGGTGGACTAAATATTCCAAATCTACTTGGAAAGAATAGCCCTGCAAATATTCTCAATGAAGCTGCATCAAATATTCCAATACCCAATTTTTTTGGAAATAATAATAATCCAATAGGATTGATCAGTGGAGGAGGCGGCGTGTCAAACCTTCCAATTCCAAATATATTTGGAAACAATAAACCAGTACAGCAGACCACTGGAGGAGGTGGATCAAATAATCCTGCTCCAAACGTAGTTATCAGTAATAATCCAGCTTCTTCTTTACCTTCATTCAATCTTCCACAAGCTGACTACGAAAGGTTATCAGCTCTTCTAGCTGAAATACAACCACTTATGAATTTAGTTGTACAAGAATTACAACAACAACGACTCGAAAACATACCTGAACTTAATAGACAAAGTGGTATAATCGTAGCATTATTGCTTCAGGTACGAGCAATGCTCCAAAATGAACTCCAAACACTATTGTGCTCTCCTCAGACACCTATTGTTATTTCTATGGAAATTCAAATCACAACTCTCCTTGGTCAAGTAAATACTGCACTCACTTTGACTGCACAACAGGTCCCTGAAAATTCAAATCAAGCTTTGCCAGTTAGAAGTGTTTTAAGTTTGATTGAAGTTGGTCAAATTAGTTCAGCTCCTTCAATACTGAATTACATATGTAGTCTTTTCAACAAAGGTCAGTCAATGAATCTATAAAAATTATATATCTGTGATAAAATACATATGTTATAGATAATTTATTAATAACAAAGCAAACTTAGTAAATAAATCAAAAAATAAAAAATATTTCATGTGAATTGGGATTGAAAAATGTGTAAAAATATTTGTAATTGCTTGCTGATACCAGTCCATCTATTTGTATTTATTTATATTTAGTAATGAGATATTAAATTCATACATTAATATATAATAAATATATATGTATAATACATTTATAATTTAATAATAGGATTGAGAGTAATATAGATAAGATAGAGCAGTTGAAAAATTTATGAAGAAATATCATATACCAAAAAAATAATTGCAGTAGGTCGCTATTAACTATTGTAATTATTATTTATTACATATTTTAAATAATATTTCTTACATTAGAAATGATTGAGTCGATGTTATTATCATGCTTATTGTCATCGGAGTTATGTGTTATTGTCTATACGAAATACATGAATAGCAACATACGTATAATAGACATCATAGATTATTATTTAAAGTACAATATTTTTTTCTGTGAGAATATATTCTTATATGTCGGTCACAGCAATGATATCGACATTGTCGTACGCAGAACATGATTGCAAGCAATCCGATAATTGATTGAAACTACAATTTAGCCACTTAAAATTGTAGTTATTATTTAAAATAATTTATAAGACATGATATATTCTATACAATATTTTTTGCACATCAATATGTTCCTCCACTATGATCATGTTAGTATACACTATTGAGATTATAGTTTGTATTGACAAAAAGGTTATGTAGCACAGGTTTAAAATATTAAGAATGTCATAAATATATTTATACTACATATTAAATAAATATGTAAATCGGCAATAAAATGACATAAATTGGTTAAAAATACATTTGAATATTTTTTTTTAAAAGTTAGTGATTGTATTGTCTTTTCTGATGAAATTCATCACGAGGTATTTACACTCTCGTGATGTTTATCAGGATAAGTACATTAAAATTTGATTTTTATCGAACTGAAAGCGTCTCGCATTCCCAATCGCACTGCTAATGAGACCTGCGATTTGTTTATTAGATATGTATAATATATTATAAGTATTAATTATATATGAATCTAGGGGTTACTCTGTAGAATTATCTGTTTCCATACAATGCATAACATTGAGCAACAAGTAAAGTTCAGTTTTACTCAGAATTGTTTCTATTTATTGTCATTGTTACAAATATTTATTGTTTAGACACATGATATCTATATATTTTATAATAATGAAATTTTATTAATGTTTTAGTTAATGTTAAAATAATTTTACACTATTGTTTATTTTATTTGAGTAATTTTCATTTGTTGCCCAGTGTAATTAATACATTAATAACCGCATACATATATAGAATTGTAAAAATTTTAGTAACAGACATTTTTTTTGCAGCCTTTAAGAGAACCCGCTGAGTGCTACCATTATTAATTATACTCTAAATACATCAGTTAATCATATTATAATGTGTGATATTAGTAGATCATTGATAGAAAATTAAATCTCACGGTAATCTACAAATTTGGCTAATAATTTAAAAGAATAAATAATGTTATTTACAGTTATTGATAATACTGATAAAAATGGTTTATAAATAATGGAATCATTGATTGAAAAATCAAAAAGATTTATCAATTAGTAAAAGCTTGATAATGCTTTGAAATTGGTTAATTATTTGTATTGATTATCATTGTTGGATGAAACTATAAATCCTCTAAAACCATGTCGACAGTCTCCTGAAGATTTACGCACGTAACGGGTTCTCGGTCTCCTCCAGTGTAAGCCTAGCGTCCAAGTCGCCGAGTCGGGGGTGTTGTCGGACGAGGACCCATCTGGGGAATCCTGCCTGTAATAATCAATCAGACGTCATTAGAACTCAGCATAAGACAAGAAGGAAAGATTTTAATGAATAGAAGAAATATTTCAACTTATTATAAAACAATTAAATAGATAAATGATGGAAAAACACTATAAAACTACACACCTGCTGTCTGCAAAAATATAAAAGTGTAAAAAGTTGAATAAAAAAGAACTAGACATTAAGTGGAAGTTAGGTTTGAGAACCTACTTTGCCAACTTCTGAATTACCTCAAGAGGATACACGAAGTGTGGACAGCAGATGGTATATACATTGAAATATAATAAAAATATTAAACTATGAAAATAAATATTATCAACTTCAATAAATGATAAGCAAAGAAGTTGATAATAATAACTATAAGATACATCCTTGAAGTACATAAATTTGAATAAGACAGCATATATTGATCGCTAACAGGCTGCAACTTTCCCACCTGGGTAATAAGAGGAAAGGAAGAGAAGACACTAAACAGCCATAGGACATCTACGTGTAGTATATGTTGAAAGAAAAGGCAAGGAACTATGTGTACGATAACGTCGATCATCTAAGGTAGTAGCTCATTTATCTAATATTGAATCTAATCAGCTCTAGGTCGTATCTAAACAAGTAGGATGGTAAACGATTAAAAAACACATAATAGTTAACACCTAACTACCGTGTCGGTTTTTAAGAAGAGCGTGGGCGTTTAATGGACGAGTAAATGGACGTTGTTGAGTTGTTGATTGATTGATGATAAGACATCTGATTATTAAAATTAGCTTCTACTTGTACTTTATATAGACATCGATAGCGCACGAAAAGGATGACGATCAACACGGTAATGGAAAGCCTACTGGTCTGACCTGCCGACCAGATATCGCGGAGAGCGAGAAAATCGTGCTGGCCTGAAGGATGGTAGCCAACCGAGACGTGCCAGAGCTCCGATATGTCTCTTACTTGGTTGTAACATGTCGTGATAACCCAGTGATTGGTTTGATACATCATCGTCATCATCCTCATCGTTCTCCATCTCCAGTGACGAACCTGCTCCTAACATTTTATTTACCATTTCACCAGTCGATTTTGCAAATTATTTACTTTTTTGTTTTGCTACAATCTACAATTGCTCAAATAAGATACTTTTATTTATATGTAAATTTCATTCTTAAGTTATTAAATAATTTTAACTTTTCCAGTTCTAATGAAATAATTTTTAATTCTTATCAATTTTCGAATAATTAATTATTTATGCAGAGAAGCGTGAAATTAAAATTAGCTGTGATTAAATATTGATGGCAAAGTTGGTTAGAAGTTTGAAATTCAATGTCTCAAAAAATTGAGAAACAATGCATCATATATATATTAAAAACTAAATAAATTATACAATTATTACATTCTTTTAATACAAAATTTTTAATACTAATTCTTTTTTAAAAAAAATTAACTTTTTGTTTGAAGTGATTTTAATGAAATTCCAGCTGTAACTTTGAATGGTACATCTACTTTAATGTATTTCAAAAAAAAATCTATAAGATAAACTATGTCTCCAATAATTATTCATTTTGTTTTTTTTTAAAAACAAAGCCATAATGAAGTTATTAAAAAAATTAATGAGCTTAATAAAAGATCAAATTTCATTCATCAACACGTGTATAATATCATTTACATTATAAGTCATGATTACCACTATCATGAAGCGTATCCAATAAATTCAAATGAGTCAATAAAAAATTTTCCCATTATCAAGAGCCAAAAAAATGTATGAAACTTACCCATAAATCTTTTTTCAGCGATCGGATATTCTGCAAGAGCTTCAATGATATCTTCATAGTCAGACATGTTAACATTCTGCATGTCGGGCAATGGATACTCTTCAGAATAATCAATTTGTCTCTTGGATCGTGACTTGTTTTTTGCATCAGCCAATTCAGCCGCTAGAACACTTTGTTTGGAGGTCGTTCTGGCTTTATTAATGGCATTGTTATCATGTTCTTGTTCAAGACGTTGGAGATCTACATCAACCCGGCCCAGGTCTTGTTCATTTAACGAGCGACTGTGTCTTGATTGTGGAAGACTCCAATCTCTGGCCAGAGTTCCAATGTTTCTTTTGCCATAAACAAAATCACCATTTCTAGCCAACGATGCGATATTTTTTTTATCAAAAACATAAGGATACTCTTCAGATCTCAAAAGTGCGCCAAGGTAACGTTTACCCCAATGAGGAGGTGGAAAATCTTGTGCCAAGCTTCCGATGTTACGTTTACCCCAGTGAGGGAGTGAGGAGTCTCGTGCCAAACTTCCGATATTACGTTTCCCTTTATAAGAAGGCAGGATATAGATTCGACCTAGAGAAGCAATGCTTCTTTTTGCACTACTTGGAAGCATCCTTTCACGAGCTAGGGCAGCAATGTTTCGCTTTCCGTTTGGCAAAGCAGAGTCTCGTGCCAAAGCAGCGATGTTTCGTCGTCCCAATGGCAAAGCATAATCTCGAGCTAAGGTTCCAATGTTTCTTTTGTTGATGGGAAAATCTCTGAATAAGGCTTCAACGTTTAATTCACCACTTGGAAGAGTGTATTCACTGATGATTTCTTCTGGAGTTTTTCCTTGATCTTGTTGAATGCTGCTTGTGTACATCTTTATTATTTCTTCAGGAGTCATGCTGCAATCAATCAATATTATTAAACATCAAATGAAATTGATATTTATGATATATAAAAAATCATTTAAAATATATGAGAATAAGAAATATGTTAGCTTAAGCTAAATCAATTGAACTGTTTATGTTAAATAATACTCTATTGGTCTCATTATGTATTGGAATACCATTGTAAATGTCACTGATAATGTCCGCAATACTGTTAATCCATAGATCACCAACGTAGTCTGTAGATTTAAATGAATAAATCAGATAACGTACAGATTAACTTAAGTAATATACACATAACGGCTTCCACACGTTGTCGATAATATATAAACTAATTTAAATTAATTACTTTCGATGATAAATTCATTCAAATACATTTATTATTAAAACACTATTAATTGAAAGTTGAATGTGATTCCAGTAAATAAATTATATTAACTAATGTTGTGTTTGATACATCAAATAAAAGTTTAATTATTTACCCACAATTTCGATTATTTTAATCTCACTAAGGGTGGATAATACTAATACCTTGACTAAATAAGCTTTTTAGTTAATCAAATAAATCAAACAGAAAGAGATTAAGGGTTTTATTATTCCAGTTTCATTTATCAACTATGATTGACCTAATGTTTAACTAAATCATGTATATTGTAATGGAAATCTAGATGAAAAAATATTGTCATGAGAAAGTGAAGGTCTGTTGATAATATTAAAATATTTCAGGAAGATGTTGAGCTATTTTTGAATGAAAAATAATTGAAGTAAAACGTTTGGGAATTTTAATTTATGTTAATCAAGTGTTTAGGAAAAAATATAGCAATTAAGAAATCATTTCAAACTCTTTTTATCTCCAGTAGGAAATCAATGTTTTTGAAGATTTAGTAATTAAAAGAAGTCTTGCAAAACTTTTTCACTAAAATTAAAATTTAAAGAATATTTTTTCATCGTGGAATTGTTTGATATCTTTTCAGGAAACATTAAAAAAAAACTTATCATAATCTTAGAAAAATGTTTGAAAATCAATATTTAAAATAAAAAGAAAAAAAAATAATCACCTTGATTGACTTCTTTTTTCTTCATCTTCTTCTCTATGAGGTCTTATTGATGCAGGAAGGTCATCATTTTTTGCTAAAGTAGCGATGCTTCTTTTCTCTACATCAAGAATTCCAACATCCGTTTGTCCAGGATCTTCGATAATTCTGAGTGCTCTTTCAATTGCACTTAAATGAGTTCGCATTGTTGGATCGCTGAAAATTTCGTAGTAGACGCCTGCAGGTAAACATATTTTAGCATCATCACTTGTATCCTCAGTGCTCAAGGCTTTGAGTTGGACAAAGTCATTTCTGGTATCTTGTAGTATCCTTGCTGTTCGTGAATATGCCGCCAAGTTTGAGCTTACTTCTGGTAGACGTAATAAAGCCAGAAAAGTTCTGCGAGGGAGACATTGGACATCTTGTTCCTCTTGACATGTAGCCTATAATGCAAATTAATTACTCAAATTAAAATCTGTTGGACTAATAATATCTAAAGTATGAGAAATGATTATTAATTATTTATTTTTTAATTAAATAAATATGTTATGCTCCAAGTGGATAATCTGAAAATTTATAGTCACTGATATTCATAATTAATACTGTAATATGATGATAATGTTTAACCAACACTCAGGATATACATATGCGTTCGTTAATAAATTTTCCATATATCATCCTCCTCTTACAATCCTTGTTTTTATCATAGTACTCGGAATTTTGCTCACACAAGATATCATCCAACTCACCCTATTAAATTAACAGCAGATTTTTTTCTGAAATACATGTGGGAGGCCAGTGAGGCTTGAAATAGTGAGCAATACCTTCATTTATTTCATTCAATAGCTCTTTTATTCTTACGGATCCTTAAATAATGAAAAGCTTTATAACCAGAAAAACTAAATTAATAAAAAGGTAATTGTTAATAGAGCGAAAATAAAAAAAAAACATTTTTTCATGAAGTCTTTTATTAAAAGAAAAATATGATTTAATAACTCGCAGTCTTTTTTAATTTTTAAAATTAATTTTGAGTTGTGCAGACAATTTGTATTTTTAATTATGTCAAGAGGTATTAGTTGGTACTTGGAATTAATGTGTACGGTTGAAACAATAATGTAAAATTCAATTTTCTCCAAAATATTAATAAATAGCAAAGTTTTTGGATTCTTTAATTTACACGTCTCTTGTTATCATTGACAAACAGTCGCAGCTGCCTATGACAGAAACTCTATTTACCGTTTCTCATGCTATTATTACAACAATCCTAACTTGCAAACAACATATATACGACACTCTTCATATTCATATTCACCACCAAACCCAAGCAAACTATCCTCTATAGGATTCAGATATTCAAAGTGGTACTTTATTTATGTGTTCACAAACTCGTGCTTTACACGTGTGTCGGAACAAACAAGTAATAAATCTCGTATTTATTTTATCACCTCAATCAGCAAAAAAATTTCCTACATTGTTTGTCAATTAATTTAATTAAAAGCCATTTGCTAGTAAAAATATTTTTAAAAGCATTGATGCTACATCGAGAATTAAATTATTGCTTTTTCATTATTATCAATTCAATCAACTAATTCATGACAATGTAAAAATTATTTAAATTTGCAATTAATCATCAACAACATCAGCTCAAAACTCATATTGACAATGACACTTGTCGTACACTTCTATTGTGATAGCTTGTTTACAATCCACATTTACATTGTATACTTCATAGCATTGTTGTAAAATCATGTGTTGAATATATTGCTATAATATAAATATAATTGTTATTGATAAATAATTATGGAACGGCTATAGCACCATTAGTATTACTCATATTAATTTCTCTAGGTTATGTTATCTAATCCATAACATTTTAATGAATAAATACAATTGAATTATTATTATCACTATTATTATTAATATGATGAAATTAAGTATTAAGTGTTATTTAGTGAAAATAATTATTTTCAAGTGATTGAAAACCTTCTGGCAAATTGAATATGTCATCATCTGCATAAAAAATTAGCAGAAAGTTATTTGAAATCATCTATGAGTCACCTGTTGTATAATATCATGCAATAAAATATGAATAAAAGCAATATTCGAGAAGAATTACTCGTTTCAACAGTTCTTGCATATTATTTAATGACACATTAGTGAAAGATAAGTCTTTTGGATAATACAAATTCTTAATAAACTTTCACATTATCATAAACATTATTGACACCTTTGATATTAAATCATGTTCATTAGAAAATTAATTTCATAGAGGAAAGGTCATTCAATTGTGCTGCTATAGAAGGATAATTACACGAGCTTGTCTCATTAAGATTAAAAAGATAGAACATGACCAAGTATTTGGGTAATTTAAATCACTTTTGATAAATTGATTTAGAGCTTAAACTACTCTGAAACATGAGTAGGAACAAATACAATTTTCATGGTTATTTTATTTGTAAATAAAGAAGAGTAATTATTGAATTTAAACAATCAATATTGTCAATCTGCTGAATATAGAGGTACGTGGATATTGATGATATATAGCCTGGTGACAGTAAAAATTGTATTAAACCACCTACACAAAATCCACCCTCAATTTCTACGAACAACTTCACTTTTTCGCATGAATAGCTTTCTCGTTTTCGAAGTAGACCAGTCGTGACGTCAAAAAGTCAGGATCTTTATATAAAGGTATTATAACGCCATACCTTATGCCAGAAACAATATATGGGAAATTTTGATATTACAGATATCCTGATAGTTAATAAAAGTGAAAATTCCTGTAGCTGAATTTCAATCGAAGAAGAAATTTTTAATGGATTTGATGAAATAAAAGGAATGAAAAAATAGAATGGAAGAAATATTTTAGCTTAATACGTTTTATTCAATTTTTCTCCAGTAGAAATAGTATATATGGAAGATTTATAAGGATGCATTCTCACAGCTGTTGGTGAGCCAGTTTGCGAATTTTTAAAAATTCAAATCCCATCGGATTGTACTGAGTTTAATAGAAATTGATCTCCAACATTTTTGCATGGAGTATAGTGGAAATAAATCAAAAAGTCAGTATGGTATTGCAGTGATAAATTGTTTAAGAGGATTAATAAGGAAGATTTTCCCTTTTTCATTAGGGGGCTTTTTATCAATCATGAAAGTGTGGAATTCATTCAGAATGTGGTAAACTCATAGAATGTGAGTGATTTTTGATGTTGATGGCTGATTGGTTACTTATAAAGTGGCAAGAAAATCATTTGTTCATACAATTCTTTTATTTGAGATGATTTCAAAAGTTAAATCATTAATAAATTAGTATATAGAGTAGAAATTTTTTTCCGATCAATTATTGTTCAAAATTATATAATAAATAGTGGGAATGAACTTATGATATTAATGATTTATAAAAAAGAACAATTTATCAATTCCAAAAACTTTCAAATACGAAGTTAAAAACTATTAATAATATTAGATTTTTCTCTATATAATAATAAAGAAAAATTCAATTACAAAACATTAGAGACCTTGTGATACGAGATATTAAAATATAATAAAAAAATTAAGAAAAATATTTTCATAAATGTTTTAAAATAATTCGCTTTTAATTTGAAACAAAATAAGAGATTTGTGATCATCTAATGAAATACTTTTACAATTATTATGAAAGTTCTTGGTTGTTTTTAGAAAGTAATCTCTTGAAAATAAACAAATATATGATCACAAAATGATAATCGTTTTAATAAACACAGTGATAAGATAGAACATACAAAGTTAAAGTATTTACCAAAAGCTTGAACAAGGAATTTGGACCCAGAGCTAGATGATAGTTAAGCTATCTAATTTGTCTACATAGTCTTCTGCAACTCATTGGAGGGGACATACAGAAATATTTAAACCAAAAGCATTTAATTCCAGCAAATGTGAAATGCATGTAACTACATCGTACTAACAGTAGTTCAAATTACTATCCGGATGGAAATATATGTTGATAATACTGAGGACTTTTCGGTCGACCTACGCAGAGGTACACCCAGTGTGGGTTTTCCATGATTTATGAATCCTCGAAAAGCTCTGGATCTTTCATATAAACGGGTGGGTTTCCGCGAATGACGAATCGTACATGTTCCAACTATATCTGTGTCTGTATATGAGTACACATGTCTATGTATGGATAGTACCTTCAATGCTGCTAGATAAATGTGAAAATGAACCAGATGCTGCTGATTCTGTCAAATGACATGAAGTATACCAGACGCGGTTGGATCTGTCATATTATTTTATCATTTTCGATTGAATTATCTTTCGGCAAATGTCAAAAATATTTTCCAATTTTCAATCAATAATTAAACCATCCTATGTAACACTGAAAAAATCAAAGACTAATTAATAATTTTGATTTTACTTCAAAAATGTATTTATGAAATATTTTTACCTCTAAACATGTTGATTCTTATTCACATTTTTAAAAAATATCCATTTCTATCACAGATTTTAGATAGCTTAGGAATGATTTACGTGTTAACACGAGCGTTCTTGAATTTTACGAGAAAAGTATGGTATTAAGTTTAAAGCCTATTTTATAAAGCTTTTATAAATTTCAAAAAATTATAATACCCCGTTGGAAATAATGTATTATGTATATATTTAAAAGTGATGCATTTTTTTGTAATGCTATGTTTTGATAATACAGACATGAATACATTTTTATTTGAATAAACTTCTATAAAGTTGAGATTGTATAAATTTTTGTTAGAATTGAACAGCATGAATTCAAGTTTATTTTATTTTACTGCGAAGTCGCCACGAATTTATGCTATACTACTTGGTGAAAATCCATCAGTAAAATTAATTTTAGTTATGATTTAATGTTATGAAAATTATTTAGCTATTTTTCCATCAATTAATTAGCTGATATTTAACTTTAAATAACTTTTATTACCCAACTTCTCTTTAAAATTAATTCAAGGCCTTTACATAATAATTTTTTATCTCAACAAGATAATGAACGACCATTTATTAGATTCAAAAATAATTAGATTGGTAACATATTGTCAATAAAGTTTAATTAATTGATCAATGAATATTAAAATCAATTTTGTTGACTTCTAATTACGAAATTTCAGAAAAATAATTATTCTTTATATTTAATGAATCTTTGATGAATTTATCTCTACAGAAGTATTTAATTTATATTTTTGCATAAAAAAAATTATTACACATCTTTTTGAATTATTATTATTTATCAATAACTGAAAGTTATAAAATGAATTCAAATAATGTACTCACGAAACAAACTTCAATGAGCAATAAAATACGAATAACTGTCAAATATTTAACTTGTCGAATATCAAATAAATTATTTCAGTTGAAATTTAATTTCAATTCACTTCATTAATGAAATTATTTAGTATATTTTGAAATGAATTCCTAAACAAAAATGAATCAACAACTATTTCCAGTCAAATGGAAAATATATCCAAAAAAAAAGATTAAATCTTGATATCTCATAACAATATAAATATCAAATTCCAATTTTTTTTTGATCCCCCATTGTATTATTCTACCAGTTTCATTGCGATGCTGACTTAGTTTAAGGGTATTATACATTACAAAGTATTACTGATACATTTCTAAAAAAAAAGACCTTTTTTTTTATTTTATAGAATGTAGTTAAACTACCATAAAAAGTGTTTCAATTTACATATAAAGTTTAAAAACACAGAAGAAAACTTGAAAAAAAAATAAAAGTAAAGAAGCTTAAAATGAAATATAAAATATCTTTGGTCGAAATTGCACGTAGCAGCTTTACCAGTATGATCCTCGCTTGTTTTAATACGTACGTGAGAGAATTTTGAATACTAGCGAACAATGTATCTTATGTATTCAACACAAACACTAGAAAAACATCTAGACTCTTCAACATTTCCTAATGTTTCTACTATCATCATTTTTGCTGTCATCTACAGTTTTCAACATTCCTCTAGCCTATCATCCAACCTCTTTAATATAATTTACCATTCAAGCTTTTGTAATTAATTAAAATATTCATAAAACTCGATTCTTTAATTAAAGAAAACATAAGACGAGAAAATGGCAGTATAAAATCTTCAGTTTGTTTAGGCATTTAATATATTGGCAAAATAAAGGAAAGCTTTCGATCAACTGAACTGATGTATATACCTTGAAGGCATTGTTTCAAAAGAACATCGTATACTTATATACATTGAAGAAGTTTCTAAAGGCGTTGATCGAGATAAAGTACAGAAAAGCTTTCACTTCATCGAATATCTTTTGTTCCTAAATTTTTTGGCGTTTTATTGAAAGGTTTTGATTTCAGAGCTGTAATGAAATTTCCAGGACCTTTATTGAAAAAAAAAATATTTCTCGAAATTTATTCTAACCTGTAACTAAATAATCAATAGTTATTGTTTACTTTTATGCCACTTTTACATTCGTATTTTATAAAGAAAAACAGTAATAATGAATTTTTAATTCTTTTAACTCCTGGATTATTAGTTAGCTTAAAGTTCTAGAGTAAATGAATTTTTCCAGAGTTTAAAATTCATCATAATGAACATATTTCTTGAAAAGATTTTAATTAATTATATGAATGTACAAGGTTTTTCCTACTAAGTGAAAAAGAGATCATTCCAAAGAATTTAAGCTTACAACATTGAAACTAAAGTCAAGGACAAGCTTTTACTTTATAGTTTATTAAAAAAAATAATTATCATAATTTTGATTGATAAAAATGATGGATGATTTTTTTTGTTCATTATAAATTCTATATTCGTTATGAGACCAAAAATTAATCAGCTCTCCAACATATTACACAAGAATTTATAATGAAATGGTTGAAAAGCCCTGTAAAGTTTCCAAGTAAATGGATTATTTTCCAACTACTCAATAAAGAATTTAACTTGATGTAATATTAAATAAAAGCTTGGAAAATTATTGAATAAAGATGACGCAAAACTCTTGTATTTCACAGATCAATTTAACAAAGAGGTAGATAATGTATTGTCAAACTAATAGGATTAATACTACAATCTTTATGAACCATAACGTAAATGGCACAATATTGGACGATTTTCAATCACAGAAGACAAAAAATGGAAAATAATCGGTAGAGAACTACGAGTAACATAGAGTAATCAGTAATCGGTTTAGCCAGTATGGAAAATGGTTGTTAAGACGTTGGAATATTAATCGCATTATTCTATAATTATACTGAAAAGGGGCTAATTCTACTAATTAATACTGATAGAAATGAAGGGATACTACGTAAAGAATAAAAACATACAAGGCTAAATAGCGATTAAAATCAAAAGACTAAGTTAACAGACTATTCATAATAAGTCTTTTAGTCTTTAGCATAGTTTAAAAAGAAAAAGCAAAGTAATTAAATGTTTAAAAGTTAATAACATATTAAAGTTCTTCTAGAAAATTGATTATTGAAGGACAAAAATCAATACATTATGTGTAATGTTAAGGAAAGGTATCTATTATAGATAGATTTTTGCTTTATCTAACCAGAGGAATCGACAGTTTGAAAGACAGGCAACAGGTTTCGACGTAAATTGTATTGCTTTGGTACACTCAAGAGATCTGAGTGCAATGAATGAGCTTTTTCTAGAATTCTTTATAAGAGTATGTTAGGAGATTATTTATTCTCTTCTCATGAGTGTTAAATACTTTATTATTTATTAGAATAAAGTTTTTTTAATATATTTCATTTCCTTGATAAAAAAAAAATAAATAAATACTATTATTTATATTGGAAAAATATTTTTATGATTTCTTGAAGTTACTCTGAGATGAGAAAACCAAACTGAAATACTTTATTGTCAAAACTTTGTAAATTGTATTGGCTCAAGTTGTTTGCAAGATTTTATTGAGTACTAAAAAGAAAAAACCTTGTAAGCTTGATATATTTTAAAAATACTAATAAAAATTATGTAAAAGTTGAAGTTGAAGTAAAAGTCAGTTTCTTTGAGGCCAATTTTTCAATAATACGAAATATCCATGTATATGTTTATTGATGTCGTCAGCTTGCTATAAAATGTTGAAGAATTAAACCCGACGATCGTATAACTCCAGGGCAAACGAGCGTTAACATTGGGATTTGTTCTTTTATCGACATTTCCCAATGAAATTCCCGCTGAGATTTATTCTTGTCTACTTATATACTATATACAAGGTTTTGTCTAAATCGTTTCCCTTGGAATGTACAGTCAAAGTGACGTCAAATATCCTGTATCAAGAGAACGAAATAAATTTCTGTCAGCGCTAAATGGCAAAGGATAATCGGTATCTCTTGACCAAATGTTTATACATCAAACATCATTCCCCTATGTGTAATCATATCAAATATTTGAACTTCATTATTAAATTTACTGTTATTTTTTAATTTTTTTTTAAAATTATCTTCACAGTTAAAGATTAATTAATCTATTATTATTTTAGAAATTGTACCACTGCAACGACAGTTGTCATTAAACGATGAAACTCATTAAAATTATGGAACTGTCCGTAACAGATGATGTACACTCACAGAAACGAATTACACGTCGATTCTTTTGCAAGACATGGCGTTAATTACTATGCACGATACTTCTCTCTATTTACAATTCTTTATCATTTTTCTATTTTTATTAACTATACCACATTATTAATGTTAATAAAAATTATCCAAAGGTGTTTAAAAATGGTATATTTTTTCATTATTAATATCCATTTCAGTATTAATTAGTTTAATAAATATCGATTCATTCTTTGATCTGAAATAATGATTAATACTTTTATAAACCAAATAAGTTACTCAGCAATTATTTACTTCAAAGAGATATCTGCTTTTGTCGCTTAGTCTATTATCTATCATTGCAAAAATATGTACTTAGCTTCTGTTCGCTAATTGCCTTCTTATTACTTTTACTTACATAATATTAACTTATTACATAGCATAATTTTTAATAGAAAAAAAATTTCTAAAAAAAGCAAAGAAAAAAAATAGGATAAAAAAAATAATTACTAAGACTTACCAAAGGGATCTGTAGCTGATTAACAGCAACAACAGAAAGAATGAGAAACAAACTCGAAAAAAGCCCGCTACTTTGTACCATGATTTTTGTGAAAGATTTCTTCTTGTTCTTCTTTTTCTTCTATTATCTACTTCTATGTTTTTTTTATTAGAAATATTTATACACCCGAAGACGTGGCTCACCAAATCTGAATAGCTCCAGGAGTCCTCTTGGCACCCTTATATAGAGCGCGTTTGGTATCCGCGCAGGCGTTAGCAGTTGATGTTAGTAGATAGTGCGACGCACATGTAAGAGAGAAGGGAAATGTATTTTGGACTCTTTTTATTTTTTTTACACAAAGTGTAAGTGCGTATATTCAAAAATTGCCATCTCTTTCCACTGTTGGCTGCATTCATGCCCGCAAAAAACCAAAAAAATGAATGAAAAATCGAGCAGAAGAAGTATGAAAGGAAGAAATAAAAGTTTTCAATTGTATGAATTCAGTAAAAGTACTACCGGCTTTATTGCGTATGTTTTAACGTTTTTATTTTGAAAAATGTCTATTTTAGGAACGCATTATTAGCCCTCTCAAGTTTACCACGTCATTCACAAGTGTAATTTTATTGTGTATAGGAAAGATGAGAATGGGGTAGCTATTCCTCCGTCATGCTATTCTCATAACATAAAATCGGATGTAACGAAATTAAAATTTGCCTTTTAGTGCTTAACTGCCTCAAGGAATATGTTTCAATTGAATTTATTTGCGATCATATTTATCATTTAGTGGTTACCAGTATGATCTTCAAAATTACTAGTTTATGGAGAATAATGGTAACTACCAAATAAACCTCATTTTGTATCGTTTCAAAGAAATTTTTCATATATTCATTTTTAATTAAAATTTCTAATTTAAAAATTATTTACTTAGTCTTTTATTTCAAGTATGAAAATTCAAAATTTATTTAGTTACAAATTATAATGTTACTAAAAGATGAGAAAGATAATTAATATCATTAATAAATAAATATTGTTCATATTTTTTTAATGTAAATATTTTATAAATATTCAGAACAATTAAAATGCTATCATTTTTGATAATTAAAGTAAAGCTGAATTTTTTACAACAATTAAAGTTCATTAAACGAATTCAACGTTTAAATTCAAAATTCTACAATTGCACTGGAATCCAAGTTTATTTTCCCACAACGATCAAGTTCAATTGTATATGCATCTGTAATTCCGTCTAAACACGAATAAATCATTCTTATCCAAATCTTCGATGACATTTAATCGAGAACATTATTTATTGATTCTGTAAAATATTGTTTAGACTGATATAATGTTTAAAATGTTGATAGTAATATTATTTTATTAATAATATTATAGCGAATATACTTTTATTTTAGGCTATAAGCTTTATATTTAATTACTGTATTATTTGTCTAGACTCTTGAATTCTCATAACGAACTGACAACGCTATTTAATAAAAAAGAATAAACTGTTATTGAAGAGAGTATTCAATTAAAAACAAGAATAGGAGAATATAGTATCTATTTTTTCCATTATTTTTCGTGACTCTCACAATAACAATCAATTATTTAATTATTTCTTTAACGATTATTGAACAATTTATTTTTAGTAATAAAAATATTCCAATTATATAAATCATTGAGGAAATTATTTAAAAAATTATCTCAACTATTCTTGAATCTTCTTTCATAATTTTGAATAAACAAATGTATAATAAAAATCTAATTTTCATTCAGTAGTAAAACCATGAATAAAAGCTTTCTAAATAATGAATTGATGAATTAATGATTCCTTAATTAAATTAAGCAACCCCATTTGCGTTGTATTTTCTATCAAATTTATGCATAAAAGATAAAGCAATTGACAATTTTACTTACGACACCCCAGAGTATGAACGTCAAGAATAACATGGAAAAAATATCACTGGTGTTCATGGCAGCAAGTGATCAAGGTTCCCGTTACATCAGCCCTTTATAGAATCCTCATGAGATTATGAAATATCCGGAGTAATTTGAGTAATTGAGTGAATATCTCGTTTTCTTGATTTCTATAAGGAAGAAGAACATATTTTAGTATCCCCCATGGAGTCGTTGCGAATCTAAAAATACCGCAAAAGCGCAAATAACACTTCGATTTAGCAGGATATTTGAGATTCGTTATTTATTTAAGACATCATAGATATCATGCATCCTCCGTTAATTGCAATATTATCTGAAATTCTTACGAAAGTGTCAGTTCATATAGATGAACACAAAAAAAGCTGCCATCTCAATAGCTTTACAGTTAAAAATTATTCTGTGAAATATTCAGTACTTGTGGAAGTATTAACTCAAGTGATATCGATAACAATTATTTGAATGAAAATCTTTACAAGTTATATAATAACATCTGAATAAAATAAAATCTAAATATATCTAGTTTAGTACTATTTCTTGGAATTTATCTATAAGCCAGTTTAATTAATTAAGTAGAAAGAAACTTTGATGGTATTTTTTTCTTTTCTTCTGAATGGGTTATTTCAAACACTGAATAAACTTTTCTTGCCTGACAAGAATCTCAAAATCTACTTTTAACATTTATCCAGTGCTTCATTAATTTATATAATACAATTGGCTACCCGTCAAATATTTCAAGAATATCAATAGAAAATGTCGTTGAACAATCACTTCATCTTCTTGCTTGGTTGAGCTGATCATCAAGATTCATTCGCTCTTATTTTAAGATTACTGTAACTAAGTAGCACAAGTCAATGATACGATCAGCTAAATTTCATTTTACCCAGCCTATGTTCTATCATTACCATCGAACCACCTGAAATCAATACCAAACAATAGTAACGTGTAACCAACGCCATTAAATAATGAAATCAACTCTAATTATGAGGAATAAATACTATTTTTTCCCTAAATGAAATTGTAAATAGAAATATACTTTTATACTTAATAAAAAGAACAATACCCACCCGCGAAACCTGCGTAGTTGATGCATTTGATAGATACGCAGGCGTAATTTCATGGGTACTAGTGGCGGTTGCGCAAGTCTTGCCAATATTCCAAGTATCAGTGATAGTCATTCCGTAACCTGTGTCCGCAGGCTTGACTGGAAAAGTCGATTGTTAGCAGCTGTTATCTGAAATTTTTACAATTAATTATAAAAGCACAACAAGTTTTTTTTCAATCATTAATTTAATTAGTTTACTTTGATTGTTGACGTAACTATAACATATCTAGTTGACTGTGTGGTTGATGTCAATCATTCTATCAATGAAGATTCGAAAATAAATATTAGAAGGCACTAATTTGCGAGGTTATTAGCTTATTAGTCAGGGATGCCGCAAAGGTATTATTTAGCCACTTGAAACGAGGATGACACGATCCGTGCTAGGACAAAATAATCATCCTTACCCTCGATTTAGACGTTGTCGTCGACGTCGAAGACGTTCGGCCTCCAAAGTTATTTTTGATAGAAAAATAAACCAAAATGCTTACAGAAATGGTTCGACTATCTTATCAGCATCGAGCATTTTATTGTTACGTTATTCTCAGTGTTTGGATTTTCCTTCTGGTTGCCGGTAAATATTTTTTATTCACTAATTAAATTATTTATTAATAAACTGATTAATTTAATTTCCTTACTCCTGCTGCATATGACCATTTAACTTAGTCCTCTTCATTCAATCCAATTCAAATTTAATTTGAAAAAAATTCCTGAAATAAAATAAAAAGTAGTAATTTTATTTTAGTTGTTCTTTAAATTAATTACAGGTATGTACAAGTACATAGGAGGCAACGAAAAAAGCTCCCTCCAAGGTAAACCACCGAGTGACCTGCCAATCCGAGAGTTTGCTAGACACCTCAAACTCGACATTAAAAATAGAAAGATATTTAAACTTTGCAATTCGCCGGATGACATTAAAACTGGAGCAGAAGGTATGGAAAATTTATTATTCTTTTTCATTGATATTAAGGGATGTCACCACAATCTTTCAGCATAAATCAATTTTTTATGTATCCATACATAAAATTTATGATTTTGAATGTGATATTTATGAGTCATATTCTATTATATGCTATTACAACAATACTAACAATGATCAAATCTACTGTTACATAAAAATGTTATATCCTTTGTTCTGAGTGCATTTTTCAATGTTTTATTACATTCAGCTCTTAATTTTTTATTGTGACATCAGTAGAAATACTAGCACGAAGATTTCATTAATAGATTTTATTTGATTTTATGAATAATAAATAAGAAATGAATTATTTGCGATGTATTGTACTGATTTATACAGTTTTTTGTTAAAATATATTAAGTTTAAAATATTAAAAAACTTTTGATTCACTATTTGAAGTAATATGAAAAAATGTTTGTTAAAAAGTAGTAATGATAAATAAAAACTCGTTTTACAGACTTTGTAAAAAAACATAGTATATCAATTAAAAATATAAATTGGAATCTCAACTAATAACGTATCTCTCATTTCCCTAGTGTATAAATATTTGAATCTTTTCAATTTATTTTTATGTTCGCACAATATTTAAAGTAGATATGCCATTCGTGGTGACTTTCATTATTCTAGTGCTATGAATATGAGTGTAACTTGAAAATAAAATTTGAAGACCAATAAAAAGTTATCCTGTCCAATCTTCGATGTGTCAATAATAAAGCTATAAATAATAACAGATGATATGATTTATATTTATAGAAACTAAAATTTTTTGCTGAAAATTATCTGTTCGATTTAATCATGATTTATTAGCTATCATCGATTTTTAACTAGAAACTTTATTCCTATCAACGATATAATCTACATCATTTTTTACTATTACGTGCGAATGTTATATTGTTTTTCAAAAGTAATCACATTTTAAATCACAACAAAATTTGTGTCAAGCCTAGAACTAGCCAATTTGTGAAATCAATAAAATTACAAGTATTTTTTTTTAATCATGATTTCTTACCAACACTATTGAAACTATTAACAAGTGTGACCCTTAGCACAAGCCTATAAAAAAATATTCAGGACAATGAACTTTGTAATATACTTCAAACAAATTTATAGAAATCAATGAAGCGAATAATTTTTTAACAATTTATTGCTTTCTAAGAAGATTTAAAATAACTTTATAGTTATTCATAATATTATATTTGCCCTGTTTTATTTAATTATTATTCATGTTTTAGGTAAAATTGATGGTAACTTAACACTGGAAGGTATTTTAGTCTTTATTCGCCATGGTGATAGAGGACCATTATCCCATATTCGTAATATAAGTACCGTAAATTGCGCTGCAGACTTTAGCTCAAGCCCAAGGCTGGATAATATTTACCAAAACTACCAAAGTTTCATTCAAAACTCCACAACTTACACTCAGTCGGCTTGGGCACAGTTTCTAGGTCCTTTTCATGGATTTCCCATGCTTCCTTCTAATTCCAAAGAATGCAAAATAGGCGAACTCACGACTTTGGGTATCGGACAACTTCTCAAGACTGGGATGCTTCTCAGGAATGCTTACTTCAACAAATTAAACCTTGGAAACACCACAATATCTTCTAAAGATGTAGTTGCTTATAGTACAAGATATAGAAGAACTGTTCAAAGTGCCATCGCTCTTCTCTACACATTTTTGGAGAATGACGTCTTCCAGAACCTTGCCAAGATTACAATGCGTGAAAGTTCTAGTCTTGCATTTTGTAATGCTGATTGTGCCTGTCCTGTTGCTGAAAAATATTTGAAACAATATTATAAGGTTAGTAGATTTATTTAAAAATCATTCAAATCAACAGTAAAAAAAATCTACCTTTATTGGAATGATTGAAATAATTTCTATTTGTTATCATTTCATCAACAGGAAACTGGTGATCGTTTGAAATCTCATCCTGCTGTGATGGATCTTATCAAACAGACGTCTAATATAGTGTTCGAAATGCCCGACCAAGCACAAACAAAGCACCCTTACACCCTAAGGGATGCGTTGTTAACCTACATATGTCACGGATCGTCGCTTCCTTGTATAAACTACGAAACCCAGAGGATTTGCGTCAAGACTGAACATGTCACTGGGCTTTTTGCTTATACTGAATGGGAATCACGTTTGAATATCAAGAGTACTAGTCGACGAAAATATGGACTTTTAAAAGCCTATGGTCTGTTAAGAAATGTTGTTTCTCATATGGTTCAAATGGTCTCTGAATCGAAGCCAAAAATCGTGCTCTTTTCAGGGCATGACAAAACTCTTGAATATCTTGCAAGTGCTCTTGGCATTGTTTCTGACTATGCAATTTTACCTAACTATGCTTCCCGCTTTGTCATTGAAATATGTCGTGCTAATCCTAAGAATGAAAATCACGAAGCACATGATTTTTACTTTCGTGTCATTATTAATGGTAAAGACGTTACACAGATGATACCTTTTTGTAGAAACTCAAATCACTACAGTGGAAGTTATGGCGAAAGAAATGATGATGGCGATTATATGAAAAAAGAATACAAACTTTGTCCAATTGAAGCAATTATTAGACAAATACATGATGATTATTTTTTGCCATTTAACGCTACCAACTTTAAAGACGCTTGTTTGAATCATTGATAATTGACCAACTTCGCAAAAATAATTTTGGCGCCAAAAATTTTTTTTAAAGTTATTAGGCAAACTTCAAATTGATTTTGTTTGTATTCGAAAACAATTTAAAAAGTGATATTTGAAGATTAAATTTTTTTACAAGTAATTCTTGAAGTATAGAAAAGAACAGAGAGGTAAAAAATATGCTAAGGAAATTTTTTACTCGATTCCACTCCGAAAAAGATTAATTTTTTTAATAACTAAAAAAAAAGTTGAATAATAATCATTACAAAATTGTTGAAAATCCAATGTTACTCTGAATTTTATAAGTTTATTTTTTATTTCATAAATTAAATAATATTTAATATAAATATAACTTGAAATTTTGGCTAAAATATTTTTTCACAAAAAAGTTTAATCTAAAAAGTTTCATTTAATTATCATTTTAGTTGAAATTTCAACATTCTAAATCTTACGAAATATAATACAAAAGTTCAACTTATGATGATAAAAAAAAACATTTAGAATATTACAAAAGTCTTTATAATAAAATGAACAATGAACTTCGATGTGATATTTTAATTATTAAAATTCTAAAATTTCAGCAGTCAATTATTAATGGTGAATAATAAGTTATTAAAAATGATTAATTATTAAAATTCATACAGAACTGAAATATTTAGAGACTTCTGTAATAAACTAACGATCGAATTCGAATAGCAACCATAGAATAACTGCTTCAAGATTTCAAAATTTTATCTTTTATATAGTTAACACAAAATTTTGGTAAAGTTTTGGAAATAAGTTAAATGATTGTTACATTACGTATGTAATGAGTACATTGTTTATGATACTGCTGAGTAGAGTATGAGACTGGCACTTGAATCCAAACTCTCTAGTTGAGCACTAGATACACTTCGATCAATTGAGCTATCTTATACTCTGTTATATTATCTATATTTTATCAACCTGGTTGTATATATGTAAATAATACTTTAGAAGTGATTATTTTAATTTTTTTTTAGACAAAATAGCATGAATTCTAAACACCTCAAGATGACTCAATCTTTTTTAGTGATTGTTATTAAAAACAAATATTATAAAAACTTTTTAGATACATCACTTTTTCACGAAATAAATATTAAAAGTGTATGTTATTACAACAATTAATAGGACTAAATGAATTGGTGTTAATAAAACTGATGTAATTGATGAAAGTAGCGGTGCAATTATTATTTTATATAATTATATATGTAGAAAACTTTGTCATGTTATTTCTTAATGAAAAACAACGTAAATTGTCATCAACGAAACATAAAGAAAGTCGATCGTCAATAAAAATAGATGTAAATTAAATCAAGAATTTTATTTAATCCATTAAGGCAACATTTTTATTCACAATTAGAAATATAAAAAAAGATTTCCATAATAAATACTGAATATGTATTACTATCAGAAAGGCACTGAATTATATATTCGGTAGAGTCTCAAGTGATAATTAATGATACAAGTTTTAGATTCTTTTGTTCTTTCTACAAATTACATTTAATGAAAAACTTTGGTGATCTTGTGCAGGCGGAAGAGCGACTTTGTACCTCTCTCTCTCTCTGAACTATACAATAATATACTAATAATCATAATCATAATTATAATAATGTAGTTTAATTAACCTACGAGCTGCATTATAGACATTTGTTCAACTATTAAATGTATACAATCATCAACAATTACAACAACATGCGCAATATTTACTTAGACTTTTATTGGTGAGAAAAATATTGGCTATTTTGGTTTATTTTGTCACTCTAAAAAACGTAAAAAATATTCATTCCAAAACACTGATAATTATTATGTACTAAATTCAAAGAAATACTATTTAAATGGCATTGGTTTAGTTTCTGGCTCACTCATTGCCAGTCCTAAAGTTTTATTTATCGTAAAGAATCGTTGTGCGTAATAGTCGAAATCAATGGCTCCAGAATTTTCTTTATCTAAACGACGTTTTTCTCTACTCATTGGTGAAGCATTCTCTTTAACTTTCATATATGATCTAGCCGAATTTTCAATTAAATGATTCGAATTCTTTCGTTTTCCTTGCTTCCATCGTTGAATCATCCACTTGATCCTAGATAAAGCAACAAGAACAAGTACTGCACTTCTAAATCTTGCTTTTGGACACTTGGTAACAACATTAAGTGTTTTTTCCGTAACATAAGAACGTTCACTATTGGTTAATTTCGCGAGCATAGACATAGTTTCATCTCCACTAAGCTGATAACCACCAATTACACAAAGGAGATAACGTTTTTGGAATATCAAAGCTTTTCTTTTACTATCAACTCGTAAATATCTTGCATGTAGTTGCTGCAGCTTCACAATAGTTTCATTATCTGCTTCATTACTTTCACTCTGAGTTAATAACATTTCAAGCTCTCGAGTTTTCATGACGTACTTCTCTGTTTCTTCACGAGCTCTTATCAATTTATCATACAAAATACCCTTTTCACTGGAATATCTAGCAATTTCCGCAGTTAACTCACTAATTTTTTCAATTAAATGTGTATTATTATTTTTCTCGTGACACATTCCGGATAAAAGTTCTTTTGATAGTTCTAATTCTCTTCTGCATCTTGTTTCAAGTTCATTCTGAAAATCTGCAATAACATCTTTTAGCTTTTCTATTTCTTTTTTAGAAGCAGTTAACTTCTTTTGAAGATCATATTCTATTTTTCTTAAAGCCTGAATAACATGAACCGATTGTTTTTGTTCAGTTTGAGCCATAAGTAATTGTTGTTTTAAAGAGTTTGAATCAGCCTCTAAATCATTCATAATGTCTCTCAGATGTTTCATTTCTATTCGAAGATTTTTTATTTCTTCTTGATCATTTGACTTGTGTATTTCTAATTTTTCTTCACTTTCCTTCAAAATCTGTACTTCCTTGTGCAACCAATCACATTCTTCTTTACAATTTTTTAATTGCTCTTTTGTTCTTTTTAATTCAATTTCCAGATGGTCCTTCATTTCTTCAACTGAAATTATTTTGCTTACTAATTTTTCACGCTCTTTTATTTCTATTTCCAATTGCTTTTCAGTACGTGCTTTTTCAGCTTCAATACCTTTTAAAGTATCAGTGAGCTCTACAACCTCTCTTGCCACTTTTTCATACTTTTGAGTCAATAGAAGATTATTCTTTGCATCTTCTTTTAGAATTGGGGATGTAGAAATTTTTTCTTCTTGTTCTGGTCCCATAGATTCGTGTAAAGTTTTTAATTTAGATTCTAATATTTTGTACTTCTGTCTTAAGTCAGTTAATTCTTTTCTTAATTCATTTTCACTATCTAATGATGATGTTAATTTTAGTCGTAAATTTCTTATAATGTCAGTACTTTCTTGTTGTGAAAAATTAAATTTAGATGATTGATTTTGTAAAACAATTTCTAATTTATGAACCATAGCTTTTTTATTCGATAGATCTCTGGTTAAACTCATATTTTTCTTGAATTCAGTCTCGAAGTCAGCTTTAATTTGAAGAATTCTATTCTCATACTCAGCTACTTTAGACTTTAATATTTCTTGTTGAACCTCTAGGAAATTTTTTTCATTATTTAAATTTTCATTCACTTTAGTGGCTTGTTTCAATTTACGTCTAATGTCAGTATATTCTTGCATAATTATCTCTAAATCTTTTTCTATTGGTTTAGTTGTTAATGATTGATGAGAATCAGTGTTATTAACATCCAAAACTTCAAAATCATTATCAATGGCTTCTAGAATTTTTTGATCTAAATTTGCAGACAAGTTTAATTCCCTCTTGACCATATCTTCAATTTCCGTTCCTTCTGTTTCCTGTCTAAAAGACTCATCTCGTAACACTTCAAGTTCACGTTTTAATTTACGAACCATTTTTGTTAATTCATCATTAAACATTCTTTCTTCCTTTAGCTTTTTTCTCAACTCAACAACATTGCCAGTCTCCTTCATTTTGCTTTGAATCGTCTCTAAAGATCTTTGCAAACTCTTGCTATCATCACTCATTTGTTTGATGACTTTATCTTTTTCTTTTATGTACTCCTGAAGATGATGAATCTCCTTATCTTTTTCTTTTATGACTTCTTGATTGTAATGATTCTCCTTATCTTTTTCTTTCATTAGTTCTTCTTGATGAATAATTAACTGGTCTTTATCACTCAGTGTACAATTACCGGATAAACTTGAACGTCGTACAGTGTCCTCTAGCTTTTGAATTAGTCCATTTCTCTTATTTATACCGTCAACTAATCTTTCAACTTCATTCTGCATTTCTACTAAATTTTTCTTGCTACTTTCGTATTTAGTTTTGAATTCATACAATTGTTTATTTTCATTTTCAATTTCTTCGTTACGTGTTTTGAAAGTTTCAATCGTGATATCCTTTTCAAAGATGATCTGTTTTAAATTCTTGAGTTCTTCAACCTTTTCACGAATTGTTATTTGATAAGCACGATTTTCGTCACGTAATCTTTTTATATCTTTATTTAGTGTTGCATTTTCTATTTGAAGTTCATGAAGAATTTTTTCATTTGTTTGAATTTTTGTTTTATAAGACTCTAGTTCTTCATTTTTAACTTTTAAAACATTCTCAATTTCTTCTAGGTCTCTTTTGATTTTGCTCTCAGACTCTTGTGATAGTTCATACTGATTCTTATAGAACATCTTATCTCTCGTTAAAGTGTCCATTGAATCCTTGTATTCAGCACGCAATTCATCAAGGCGTTTCTGCAAAGAATCAAGTTCCTTCTCACGTTTACTTAAGGTTGCTGATTTAGCTTGGAATTCTGTATGAATTACTTTCAACTGATTCTCTAAATCTTCAATTGATGGTTTAGCTCCACTTGATTCTGCCAACTGTAATTGAAATTTACTAGGAGTAACTCTATCAGATTTTTGACTGTGAGAAGAATTTTGAGATCTTCTAGGAGAGCTTCCAACTCCATCCGATGTTGTACTGCTTCGTCTTACCGGAGATTTCAGATCAGATTCACTTCGAATCGAATCAGCTGGTAACGAAAGATGCAGTTGAGACGTGTGTTGAGGGCTTAATGTATTGAAAGGTCGGTTATTCAATTCGAGTGGTGGAACATTTATTGGAGATCTTTGAGAATCGATTAAAGGATTTGATGATCCATCAAGATGATCACTTGTTTGAGTTGATAAACCAACAAATTTGACATTAGACATATTATGAGAAACATCGCGTCCAATTTTCGGAGCTTCTCGAATCGCTTCTACAACTTCTTCACATTCAATGGAAAGAATACCACTAAGAGTACGAGCACTATTTTTAGGTTCGCTATCTTTCCCTCCATCATTTTCTTCCATTTGTTGAGAATTAAACGCTTCCTGTTGTTTTTCTTTTAGTTTTGATAACTGTTCTTTGAGATGATCAATTTCATCATTTTTGTCTACAAGCATTGAATCGATAAGCGTTTGTAACTCTAGATTTTTACGCTCTTGCGTTTTAAGATTGGTTTCTAGAACTTCTTTTTCATGTTCTAAAACTTCGATACGAGTTTTCAATTCTTGAATCATATTATTTTCTGCTTGTATTTTTGAATGAATTTCCTCTTGTTTTTCGCGCAATAACTGACGAGCGTGCTCTAAATCACTGGTAACTTCCTTCAGCATTATGTCTTTATTAGCCAAAATCTGCTCCATAGAATGAAGTTTAGCGTTAGTTTCATGCAATTGTAGTTCAAGTTTTGACGTTGCCTGTCGCTGAGCAAACGGCGCACTTTGTTTTTGTTGCTCCAACCGACCACGCATTGCTTCAATCTGAAACAGTTGCTCTGAGTTATGTTGTTGAAGTATTTCTCGTTCTGCTAGTAGTTCCTAAAAAAAAAAAGAACATAAAATAAATGTTAAACAATTTAAAAAAGTTTCCATGAAATATTCATTTATATGAATTGTAAGAACAAACCTCATTTTGCAATTTTAATGTTGATAGCTGCATATCAAGATCTTTAATTCTTTTAAAAGCTACTTCCTCAGTTCGTGTATGTTTCACTAATTTTTCTTTCAACTTTAAAAGTTGATCTAAAGGCAAGATAGGAAGTGCATCAGAATCATCAGGTGTTGGACACCTTGTAGAGTCAATTTGATCTTGAACTGACACATCTTCACTTGGATGACTTAAACTCAAACTAGATCCACACATATGAAGTGCTTCTAACTCTTTTGTCTTTTTATCCAAATGATTTACCATCTCTTGCAACTCTGATTTCATCTGTTTCAGAGCTGTAGAATTAACATTGAATTCTTCCGTACTCAATTTATGTCGCCTCAATTCTTCTTGAAGGTGAGTAATGTGATTATTCATGTCTCCTTCTCTTACCCTTGTCTCTAATTCTTGAATCAACTCTTGTCGTTGAGATTCCATCATTTCATTCTTTTGCTCAATTTGATCTCTTAATTCCTCTTCTCTTTGAATCTTTGTTTCAATTTCACTCTCTAGGCTTGTGATAATTTCACGTAATTCCCATATCTTATTCACCGCATCTTTCGCTTCTGTTTCAGCTTTTACTCTTTTTGCTTCCTCATCCGCTAGTATAATGGACATCTCTCGTAGTTGAAGTTCCAAAGCTTCCACCTATTAATTCAATTATAATTTATTGAATATAATGGTCCAATCAGTAGTTTTATTGTTGAAAAAAAAAACAACCAATGAAAGTTTATATTTAAATTAATCACTAAAAAATAAATTTGATTAAAAAGATTATTTTTATGCAACCAATTTTATCCGGTAAAAAAATGAGAAAAAAAATTTTATAATTATAAACAATATTTTTCATTATTAAATTAGTATTAAATAAAATTAGATTACTACAAGTATCCCAAGTAAAATGAAAAAAATGAGAGGAAAATAATTTCTTCATTTCAATTTCAAGATAAAATTATTTTTATGTAAATATCACAATTATTTTGATATTAAAATTTAAATGAAACATCAACTCACTTTTGCGTCCGTATTAGGTACTTGAAGCAAAGGGGTGACTGGTGTTTCAGACGATGGTGAATACTGCTTTGTGTGTCAAATAGAAAACCAAGACCACAGTGCAGAAAAACGTGTTAATAAAATTAGCAGTGATGCGTGTTATAAGCTTAATTGTTAAAATGATGACAAGAGTAAACCAGTTCTGACTGTATCAATTGATGAGAAATAAACAGATAAAAAAAAACTATCTAGATAAATGACTAATAAGCATATTCATCAAATGTAAATGAGAAACAGTGATAAATTTACTCTTTTCTTCACTATATATTAAAAGAAAAGTGTAATATCTGATATGATAAACTCTTGAACCAAAAATTTGTTATTAATAAACGACCAATTAAGCATGATATAATATAATTGTTACTTCTAAATAGTGCAGTAATGTACAACATTAACCCTAACATTTGATATTTGTGTAGTGTATTATCACTACCCAAGAAAGTTACAAAACTGGTAGTGAAGTTAATTAACTTTAATGGAACCCCTTGTTTCTCATGTAAATTTACCTCAGAAGTGATACGAAGATCTCGCTCCTTCTCGCGATCACGCTCCTTTAGTTGATCTTTTAATGCTTGTATCTGTCGTGTTGCATCGTCGCGTTCAATTTCCCTCTCACTAGCTTGTTCTTCAAGGAATTTGCGAGTTGCTCGTAATTGCTTATCCGCTCCTTCTAGCTAAAGTTTCGTATTAAGGAGAAAATTCATTATATTAATTGAACTATTGTTATTTTGAGTTGTTAAATGATCCAAAGTTCAAGTTATTGTTTAATAACTATCTTTCTTAGTAATTTAGTTTTCAAAGTATTTTCTTATTTTATTAAAAGTTATGGTAGAATATCAAATGAAACCAAGCAATTCAGATATTTTTATTCTGACAATTTATCTTTAATGTTATGGTTTTATTTATTAACAGTTAATAAGTGATTGCACTTGTTGTTTATTAGAGTAGTACTTTGAAAAAACTTTATACTACACAGAGTGATTGTTAAGCTTGGAATAAGTATTTCCACAAGAATACTCTTTTTTATTCTTAATAAAAGCATATTTATAAAAAGTTTCATTCATTCAATAGTCATGCAAAGCACTGTTTTAAAATTATCCTTATTAAAAAGCCATGCTTATTAAAAATTTGCAAACAAAAGTAAATAAAAATTATATCAATAATAATCATGCATTACAGTAGAAAAGTAAAATTAGAATTTCATTTCTATTTTATCCATTAAAAGAAGTACTCTGAAAAAGATCCTGTGTAAATAGATAATAAATCGACTGGTAATATAAAAATTTTTATAATAAATAGTTTTAGATTATTTGAGATTTATATGTGATAGCTGTTAACCTTAAGGGACATCAAATATCATATTATACTTTTAAAAAAAGCCAACAGCGATAAATGAACTCATGTTTATTAATCGTCGATTTAAGCATTTAATATTAGTAGTTCAATGATTTACCTTCTGACAGCGAACCCTTTGAATGCGTAGGGAAGGAGGGGAGTCTAATGATACCTGCTGGCAATACAATAGAACGCTAATAAATTCGACTATAATCTCTAATATGCATATGTTGCCCAATTGTTGGCTTCTCTACTGAAGAAGATAAGCAAAATTATTTGATTTCCAATATTTTTAATGGAAAAATTACATCTTTTTTTCTTTGAACTATTAATTTAATTTGAATATTAATTTTAAAGCTTAATAATAAGAAAAAAATAAAAGAAAAAAAAACACGCAAACAATTGCATATAAATTCACTTAAATGCTTTACCCAACTATGATATGCATATCAATATTCTCCAGAGAAAAAATATTTTAATATAAATATAAATATAAATTACATGCAGTGCATTAGTAATTATTCTCTTCCATTCAATTTTACCTGTTGCTGAAGATCTTCTTTCTCTTTTTTTTTCTTCTGTTAGCTTGTCGTGGTGTCTACATAATTCGTCAATTAACTGGAGTAAAGAAGAGGTGTCACTCGCTCCATTCATAATTACTGTTCGTGCTGTAATGTATTTAATGAGACGTTATTACATTCCATAAAAACTTGATGACACCATCATGAAGAAATATTATAATTTGAAAAATTTGTAAAGAGTAAGATCGATTTTTTTAAATGAATAAATTGCTTTGATGAATATAATAAAAACACTAAATAAGGGGGATAAAATATTCACCTCTTTCATATAATTGATTGTAATCTTGTATTACAGGTTCTCTTTCATTAGTGTCTTGTTCTCCATAGCCTTCGGAGATAATTTCCTTCGAATTATCCATCATTATCAATTTCTGTTGTAGTTCTATAATCTTTCGTTTTAAATCTTGAGATTCTTCCTCATAGTGTTCGATTGTACTTTCGGCTTCCAATAATTTTGAAGTGAGTTCTTCATTAATTTTTGTAGTATAAGTAATCTGTTTTGATATAACATCCGAAATAGATTCACTAGGTGTCAGAGTATGACCAAAAAGTTGAGCACTTTCACTTTTTAACCTTTGGAAACATTTGTCCAATTCAATTTTCATTTCTTTCAACGAACTATCTTTATCTTCAATTAGATCGAAAGGAATATTAATATTTCTCTTTAATATTGATGATATTTGATTAGCATGAGGTGCAAAATGTACTCTTTTGATTTTCATTTTAGGCGATGTTGGTGATTGAGTATCAGCAGTTTCAATGATTTTTTCAGTTAATATTGATTCTTCATTTCCATCAAATAATTTTTTTAAAACTTCAGTTATAAGTGTATTATTAAGTTCTTCTTCACAATTAGCAAAATATTTTATAAGTTCTTGTATAATACCTTTAAAAACTACACATGTTTGATAGTAAGTATCCCGCTGTTTAATAACATCTTTTTCACCCATCAAATTATCAATATATGAATTACTTTGAGTATGGGCATCTCTATCTACAGCTAATTTGTTTATTTTCTCTTTATAACTTTCAACTGTTTTCGCTAAAATACGTGAATGTTCCTCTTTAAGTTGAAATATTTCAAGCTGATGAACTTCTTTTAGTTTCTCAATCTCACGTTTGGCATTATGGGTAAATTTATTTCGAAGTTCTACCAACTCCGGTGGCCAATTTTCTTCAGCGTCATCTTCAACAGCTATCAACGCCTACAAATAAAGATCGGAAATTAAAACTCAATTGTTTTATAATTTTATTAAAAAATTTTCCAATGACCAATAATAAAAGATTTTATTATCGACAGTTCAATGTTCCAATTAAATAACAGCGGAAATGGAGTATTATCTATTCGACTATTTTGTTTGATATCGATTAATATTGAACTTCAATTTGTGTATCTATAATTGAATTCTTTACCTTGATGAGAAAATTTACAAATGATGAGTGAAAAGTAAAGAGTGATTTGATAAAAAATGGTTGAAATTTGTGATAAAGGAATTGGAATAGAACACAAAACAAAATACGTAATAATTAAATATACAAGCATTAGTGCTACCTGAATTTGTTCCTGGAGTGCGCTGACAATATCGCGCTTAGCAAGTGCGATTTGTTCCTCGAGCTGATGGCTATAGGCAGCCCGTAGCTCGATTAGTTCGCCATTTTCAACAGCAGTATCCCATTCTGTCTGACAAAGCTGCATGCGGACGTTCAAGACACACGTAATTATTATTGTTAGTTACAAACAGATGATTAGTATATAAATAAGAAATAAGGAATATAATTACTATAGAATACGTCATTGAGTAATCATGCAACTTTTTATATCTATTAAAATGAAATAAACTTAGTATTTTGTGTGATTAATGATAAAGTTTTTCATTTTATATAGAACAATGAATTGATTGTGATAATTTATTGGGAATTAAAGTGAATGAAAAATAAAGTTACCTGATTGACAGTTATAAATGAATTACGGTTTATGTCTTCGTATTCTTTAGTTTTATCTCGACAACTTTCAGTTGAATCTGCTCTGAAATTTTTGCTGGTCTCTTTTTTATCATTAATACAATCACCTTCACTACCTCCACAGAAAAGATCATCAGCCATTTCATCAACTTCACTATCATCTGACATTTTTTTTGATTGTTGACTAAATATCTCTTCCGAATATTGTTTCTCCATCTGTACACATTTCTCCTCGAAATAAGTTCTTAATTCTTCCATCTCCTTTGTATGACGTTTCTCCAATTCCTCTTTTAGAGTTATTAATTTAGCATTTTGCTCTCTTAACTTTTGATTTTCTTGGTCTATCATTTCCATACGTGTATGAAAGTAATCTAATTTTTTTTCAAACTTTTCTAAATTCTGACTAGAGTATTCGTCACTCAGACTATTATTAGGATTATCAGATTTTTGACAAGATATGGCATCTCTATTATCACTAGATTTTTCGATTAAATCATGAGTATGGACTAGATCATTGTAGGTAGAAGATAATTCAGATTCATCCAGATTAGTAGCATTTAATTTTAACGTTTGATCCATCTTACTTTCAAATGCTGCACACGCTGCCCAAGCAATTTGTAATCCATGTTCTAACTGTTTATTTTCTGTTTCATACTGATGTAATTTTTCTAAAGCATTCTTTAATTTATTGTAAATTTCAGAATACTGAAGATCTTTTTGCTGAATAACCTGCTTCAGCATTTCGATTTGTTTCTCATGAGATTCGTTTATTTTATCAGTATTAACATCCTGCCTTGAGGAATGATCTTTAGAAATTTTTTCGGAATCTGGGGAGAAATAAATATTACTTGGAAAAGGCTTGGCATCAGTACAATTGGATTCTTTATAAGACTTCAATTCCGACATCATTTTTTCACATTTATTTTTAGTTTCTTTAAGTTCTTTTTCATATGATTTTTTCTCCATATTAGCTTCTTCCAATTCTTTGCTGACTTTATTTAAAGACTCTTCAAGATTAGTTATTTTATCTATTAATTTCTTTTCTAACGATTCTTTTTCATCTAACCTTTGCTTAAACATTTGGAATTGAATACCAGCATCATCAAATGTGGGATAAGAAGTTGTATTAAATTCACTAAAACTCATTCCACTGAATCTGGATAGAGATTTATCAACGTCGCCAGATTTTTGGTTCAATGATCTTTCATTGATTTGATTGTTCTCAATCATCGCTTGAACAGCCGCATACTTAGCACTGATATCATCATAACGACATTTAAGATCATCATTTTCTCGTTTAAGTGTTTCTACATTAAGCAAAGCCTCTTCTAAAGATCTTTCAATACTCTCTCTTGAATTTAATACACTACTTGCAGCCACATATTTAGCAGTCAATTCATCTATTTGAACTTTATGCAATTGTATTTGTTCTTTCATCATATCTCTATCTTCCCGACATTGAATTAATTGTCGCTTAACACTGTTTAAATCAGATGATAGTGAAATATTTAATTTATTGTGATTTTCCAATTCAGATTCAAGAGCTTCAATCGTTTTCTTGTAAGTAATTGCTTGTGATTGGAAAACTTGAAGTTCTTTAGCATGTTTACTCTCTAACTCTGGTAGTTCAGAATTGTAACGCTCAAATAAAGATTTATATTGTTCTTCATAATGTTGTTTGATTTGTGCTACTTCAGCTTCATGTTTGCTTTGAAGTTCTTGAATTTTCTTTTCATGTAACATATGTTTTGATTTAGTCTCACTAGCAAATTTATCTAAAATATTTTGCATATCTTTCTGAATTTTTAACACTGTTTCTTTACAATTTCTCTCAATATTTTCTTTTTCTTTAATATTCTCTTCTCTTTCAACTTTAATTTTTATATTTAATTGTTCGATTATATCTTTAAATTCTTCGACTTCTTGATCATGTTTATTATTTTTTTTCGTTAATTGTTTTATACACTCATGAGACTCAGAAAGTTGTGCATTTAAATTTTTTACCATTTCCACATGAGTCCCCAGAGCCATCTCAAGATCACTGATTCTTTTTTGTATGTCAATAGGCCCATCGATGTCTTGGGGAGGCACATAAATAGCTCTCAGTGTACTTAATTGATTTCTTAAAGCGTCTCTATCTGCTATAGTTTTCTCTAAAGATTCCTGCAGACTTGAAATAAGGGTATCCCGCTGAGTAATTGCTCGATCGAAGTCTTTGAGCTAAAAAAGTAGAACAAGTATTGAAAGAATTAATTAATAAAATTGAACTGTATCATGATATTTTTTGTATTAATTAAACACATTGATTCATCAATGAAAAACTTAATAAAATCACTTACTTTACTCTTATAATTATCGACGATATCCTTATACTGAGTACTACTATTTTGGCTGTGAGATGAACTCGGAGAACCAGCTTCATCTCGAATATTTTCAAATTCTGCAGTCAACATTTGAATCATAGCTTCTCGACCATGCACAACTTCTTTCAACTTTGCAACCCTACCAGCCATACACTCGACATCTCCATCTCCTTCCCCCTCACTCACACTGATACTGCTTTGCGTCGTATCTTTAAAAGACGTATCTTCAGTCATCTGAAAAAATTCAATAACACCGATTAATACGTTTCGAGTGTTCTGTGTGTAAAATATTTTTTGTACATCAATACAATAAATTACTTTAATGTAAAGAATAAATACCGGCTTCTAGATTTTTTTTACTACTCACAATTATGCTGTGATCGAGAGATTGCTCAGCATTTTCGTTCTGAATTAGATCGTCATCAGAAGGGTCACCCGTTTGTTTTGATTCCATATTTTGGTGTAAGGCCTTATATCTAGCCAGCTGCAATAGATAACGCAACAATTCAAGTTTTAGTTACTAAAATACTTTAAATTATATAAGATATAAAAGTAATAAAAAATATTTCGAATATTAACCAAAACAAAAAACATGTATTGTTAGTATTCTAATAAGAGGTTAATTATTCAAAACAAAAGTTTTAAAGTAATGTTTTATAAGAGAATAACATTCGTATCCACATTTGTATTATTCGAATGTAAGTACTAATGATATGATGAAAATAACTCAGTTACTAATTATAAACAAAAATGATTTCGGAGTACTCACCAGATCTCTACCATTCTCCAACGAACGTCGTTTAGAGGTTTTCTTCTTCTCACTGTTCATTTAGTCAAAAGTAAAATAAAAATAATTGTATGATAACAATACAAAATAATATGTCAATCAATTTTACATGACGAATGATAATTAATCTATCTGTTAAGTTGTCCGTTTGTAAAATGACGCTAGGGTTCATGAAAAACATATGGTTAGAGTCAGTAGATAGGTAGTGAAGCAAAAATTTAGATTCAGTCTTCTTTACCAACTGTGGTATTCAAATTTTTAATTCAATTAATACTTTTGATATACAATATTGATGTATGCATTTTTAAATAATAATAAAGATCAATAATTTTATACATTATTTTAATTGTCAATATATAATTGTTTTAATTGTTGAGTTATTTTTACAATGACAGTTGATTTGACGATAATTGTAAACAAGTACAACTGTCGGTACTTTTGTAAATGAACCATAAATATTGGCGGGGCTTTGCTTGAGAAAATATCAACGTTTTTCAGCCATATAGATTTGAATTCTTATTATCAACGGAAAAGAAGACCATAAATGGTCATTATTAATGTTTGATTTCATTTATAATCATTTTATTGAATTAAAATAATTTTTTACTAATTCTATTCATTTATTAAATTTATTTATTTTCATCCATTATTTACTAACAACTAAAATGAAAGCATTATTTGATATAGAAGTTTGTCAAACAGCTGACAGGTATGATTTTTTTGATTCATCAATTTCTGAATGAATAAAACATCAAATTTTTTCAATTATCTTTGTTAAATTTAATTACAGTATGTTGTCAGCGGCAGAAATTGAAAAAATGGTCGTTGAAGAATTCAATCACGATATGGATAAACAAACTTGTTTCATAATAAATGATTATACAATTCCTCCAGAAGCATGGTCCAGTGAAGAATTGAGAACCCATGTGAAGTCTATAACATGTTATTACAATTTAGCAGTGGTAAATAAATTCAGCTATCAATCAACCAATAAATTTTCTATGATGATGATGTAGAACTTATTTGGTATTTTAGGCAGAAAGCGAAGAATATGAACGTCCACAATTTGAATTTTTCATATATCGTTTAAATTCAGAAGAAGTTGCTATAGAAACAATGAAGAATGATACAGAAGAATTACCTGTTTCATCTCATTGGATTTTACCATGTCAAGAATTTCATGGATTGTGGGAGAGTTTACATTATGAGTCTAAATTGAAAGAAAATGTAAGCCATCATAATTAATTGTATGTAATAGATTGATGTTATTTAAGACATTTTAAAATTAATTGCAGTTATTCAAGTATATCGAAACTGCCATGGAATTTTCAGAAAAAAATGTTGATCCTAATATTATAAGTTGGAACAAAGTTGTTTTGCTACACGGGCCTCCTGGTACTGGAAAAACAAGTCTTTGCAAAGCATTAGCTCAAAAGGCTGCAATAAGATTAAGTAAACAGTTTGTAAGAACTGAATTAGTAGAAATAAATAGCCACAGTTTATTTTCCAAATGGTTTTCTGAGGTAATAAATAATTAAATAAGTACATTATTAATATAGTTTTTAATTTGATCATAATATTTATTGATAAATGATTTTTCAGAGTGGAAAATTGGTGATGAAACTTTTTTCTGAAATTAAGCTTCTTCTGGAAGATCAACAAGCTTTAATAGTTATTCTTATCGATGAAGTAGAATCTTTAGCTCATGCTCGTAAAGCTAGTATGAATGGAGCAGAACCAAGTGACTCAATTAGGGTAGTAAATTCACTACTTACTCAGCTGGATCAAATAAAACGCTACAAAAATGTTTTAATATTAACAACAAGCAATATAACAGGGGCAATAGATTTAGCATTTGTAGATCGTGCTGATATCAAGCAATATGTTGGATACCCAGGAGAATGTGCCGTTCAATGTATTTATGATAGCTGTGTAAGAGAGCTACAACGAGTAAGTTGTGAACAATTTTTATGGGTAACATTTGTTTTCCTTTACTCAAAAAAGAAAAAAATTCAATGGCCATTTTTGTAGACAGGTGTTGCTAAAAGTGATGAAACATATGATTGGTGTGGTAAGTCAGCATCACAATTACTATCTTTAAGCCTTGGACTAAGTGGCCGAACACTACGAAAATTGCCTTTTTTGGCTCATGCATTATATTTAGACCATGGTGAAAAATTTACAGAATCTAATTTTTTTTCAACAATGATTGAAGCTGTCAAAAATCATTATTCAGAAGAACATGATTTGAACATAGCTAAAAAATCTACTGAACCTAAAAGAGTACACTTTGATTGTTAAAAAATTGTTGATGCTCAAAATTTTTTCAATAAATGTTTAGTATTTTTATAACAGAAAACAAGCGCAAAAATAAATGATCATTGAAAAAATCCACCTACAGAAACAAATCCAATATACTAATATACTTACTTTATTTTTTTATATAATAAAATTAATATGATCATTTTATGTATGTATTTACTACAGAAGAATTATTTAAAAATATTTTTTTTGGAGTCACTCAATTTGATGAATATTTAAATTTACGCGCTCACAGAACACGGACTCTGGCGATTTAAAAAGTAACTAATAACGCCATGAGATGGTGCCATCTATAATAATTACAAAGTTTAAGGCTAAACAGCGCAGTTTCATCACCGCGTTTGCACGCTGTGCATCGTCTCAGTTGTTTTGAGGCGCTAGTGCATGTCTACTGACCGAAGCTCTCACAGAGAGTTTCTATCGGTCTCTGTCAGCCTTTAAATTCTCCGCTCTCGTTTCCTTTCTCTTTGGATTTCCCACTCTTTTTTGCATCCCTCTCGGTTGTGTGCAACCCCCTAGTAACAAACTGTCTCTCTCCCTCATCCAGTTCTTGTGCTCTTCGACGATGTTGTACTACGTACGCCATGTTCTCGGGTACGGAGAGTGCTGCTGACAGAATGTACGGTACTCCAGAGAACAATAATCCGTAATCGCGGGCCCATGGTCGGTTCGCGTGTAATTAAGGGCGTGTGCGTGTCCAGTGGTGTTTTAGAGTGCGTCTAAGTGTCGTGGATTTAGTCCAACAAGCTTTCTATCCAAGTATTGTGTGGGTGAAAGTCAGATTGACGGTGAAGAAGTAAGAATTAAATTGCTACGTGACGTAGGACGATTGTCGCATTGGGCCATGGTATCATCGCGGCACGGGGCTTACGGCCAGGCCCCGTACCGTGGATAAATGCCAGCCGTACACAACAGCGAGGGTTTTCTAGTGTGCGGAGACAGGTCGCGGCCATTTTTACCACACGATGCGGCAACTGTGCGTGCCTGTTCGGTCCGCCATTCCAAACAATCGGTGTACGTGCCTTCGGGTACATTTTGATCGGAACGCGGACGCACGATAGGGCCCGGCCCGTCCCAACGTTTGTACGTACGTACCATACATGAATTTCAGAGCAATCCAGTTTAGTTGAGTTACTCCAAAAAAAAAAAATAGAGTGCAGTGTCTAAGAGAGTGGAGTGATACTACAAGACAGAGCAGGGGGAAGGAGGAAAATAGGATCATTGGGCGGATTAGACTTGAAGGATGTGTGTATTAACAATAGTGACTATGAGTATTTGTGATAATTGAAAATTTTCAAATCAGAGCAATGATATGTTTAAACGAAAAGTGCGTGCGTGAGTGAGTGAGTACGTACGTACCTCTAGTACTCGTGCGTACTCGTAGTGGAAGCGTGAAGACAAAAAGTGAGTATATAAAAAATGTATATGTGTTAATGTATAACCATCAATGTACAAAAGTATATATACAAAAGTTGACACATACTGACATAGATATATATGTATGTACATAAAAGGTGTAAAGGTGCAGTTTTGTAAATGGAATTTTGTCTTGCAGCTGGAATAAGAAAGCCTGAGCGACGGTGCCGAGCGTTGTCTACACTCCGAGCGATCGATGTGCAAGCTGTGGATATACCGTGTGAGGAAAGGAGATAGGACTTGAGGAAGAAGAGCTCTCGTCGCGGTTATTTAGCTGATAAGAAGGGGAAAGACGTGCCGGGGGGAAAAACCTAAGGAACCTTGACAGAACAGTATGTACCGCGTTGAGGTGGTGTCGGTGGTTGGTGTTTTCTCCATTGGAGATTGACACAAAAGAACACGGGGTGTACCCTGGAAGCTGACCGCCGTCGGCGCCGGCTCCTAGCGTGTCCCCGACGACGCGGTCTCCCTCTTTGGTGTGAGGATCGACATGGAGATCGAGATTAAACAGAGAAACCAGCGTAACAGGCGACGTGAGCGTGCCCAAAGGATTCTGGCTCAACGGGAGAGTCTTGCAAGTGCAAAGCAACAACAGCAGGCGGCAAGGCAACGACCGGACGAAGAGGATAGCCATAGTGGTGAAGACGAGGAACCTGGTGGCCTCGGACTTGAACTCTCTAGGGGCAATCGTCCTCGAGATAATCATCCACGACCACCCCGCCCGCCCAGGCCACCCAGACCTAGAAAGAAGTCCTCCCTTGCCGGAGCCAACGCCAAGGAGCCACCCTTTGAGGAGGACATTATCGACGGATTTGCCATACTTGCTTTCCGTACTTACGAGGACCTCGAGGTAAATTATTTTTTCTTTATCAACATTACACATTTACTGATATTAACTCTCATTATCGCTTTTAATCTTCTATTATACTTACATGTAACACACAGGCTATGGAAGTAAACCAACTAATGAAAAAGAGTCATTTTTTTATATCAGTTATTACGTCTCGTTTGTCGAGCTAACGGATCCATCAATTAGTACAATTGTCATAGTGTTGATAATTTGTGCCAAGTAATTTTTGGCAACGACTATAGTGTGTCGTAATAGAATCAAAGACCTTTCTCTTTGTCTACTCGCGTGACGTTTAAAATTGTTGAAACTTTTTTGTTTTCTCTGCCAAAACACAGAAACAGCGAGAGCATGGAGAGAGAAAGAGATTAACATGCAGACATTTAATTTATTGTTGTCGACAAAGTAAAGAGAGTCAAAAGAGAGTACTCTCTCAATCTCAGGAAGAATTTATTGAATTTATTGCCTTGCTGAAGCTTGAATTTGATCATGTAAAGCAGAACAAAGGATATCCCGTGTCAAGTCGATACTTCCTCTCCACCTGTTAAGAAGAGTGACATTTATATCCGGACTTTCGTTATTTCTTTACTGATACAAAATATACAACTCTAGTGTATACATAACTTGCTATATTCTAGATATATATTTCACTTTCACTTCTCTCTCACTCTTTCTTCATTCTTGTTCTCTTTCACTCTTGTATTTTACCTCACGTCTTGTCTTTCATCATCTCTACCTCCAGCATCTCCATTCTCTCCATCAATGAGGACTCGCGATGCATAAACTCACAGCTGTGACACGTTTCCCAGATAATCATCTCGTAACATCTATCATTAACCCGCGTGTCAATTAAACGCTGGTCGTAGGAGGACGAGTATCAGACAAAGACAAGTAGATGAGCAAGTAGTTGTTGATGATGATGATGAGGCGGAGATTGTGATAATGTAAAAAAGAGAGAACGAAAAGAAAACTCATACATGTCCCTGTTGGACTGCTGTTGGTGCGGTGACAGAAGCTATTTGCAGTGATTCTATCGAGGAAACTTTGTCCAAGAATTTCTTCTCTCTTCGTCAGTAGTGTGTAGTGTACCCTGGGATTCCGGGACAACTGGTTATCGGTTATATTTTTCTGTCTTTTTCTGTTGCTCAGATTCTTGTGCTTCTTCTCTTGGGGCAACTTTTTCTTTGTATCTTGTTTTCCTTCCATGTCTCCTTTTCGCATTTTCCGACTTTCAGAAAAACATTACACACAAAAGCTGAGTCTTTTTATGCCTTGGAGACAGACGATTCTTTATATTTATGTTCTTTACTCTTTTCTCATCTCTCGGCTACTGTGATTTTACTCGAGTTTATACGGTTACTTGATTATTATCTTTATATAGATCATCTATTTGTTTTTATACACATCATCTTTCTATCATCATAAAACCACTAACAACGTCCACATCTATACATTTGTTGTTGTTATTTTTTTTTCCTTTTCTTACTGACTAAATTTATCATGTTGAAGAAAGTGATTAATTTAACATTGTCAGACTGTTGACACGTGTTACAAAGCCACTTACATTTAATTAATACCCCAGGGGGGAATGAAAATGAGAACATGCATTCATTTTATAAAATGTCGTTAGATTACGTTAAAAATAAAATATTTAGAAGCTGTAAAATTACACTCTAAATATTTTCATAGCTCAAAAGACTTAGTCTGAACAAATTTAATAATCTAGGTTACGCTTGGCTTTTTTGCTTTATCATCTTCATTTTCCGCTGGTAGAGACACTTTGAAGCTGGAATTCACGCTTAATCCTCTTGTAAATTATTCGCTTTTCATCAGAATAAGATAAAAAAAAAGTTGAATCGTATCTCACTGGCGCAAAAAGAGGAATAATTCAATAAAAGATTTTTGCTGCATATTACAATAATCGCTTTTGTGCTCGTGTTGACTCTATTTGGTTTCATAACTGATTTTTACTTGCTTTATACTGAATGTATAAACTGCAACTGAGACATTAAAAAATAACAAATTTTATACAGACACATTCTTAATTAAAGTTATTATAGCAATTTTAAATAAAAATTACTATGTTTTCTATAAAAGAACATACTGTTTATTTATGCAAGATTTAAAATGTACCTTTACTGTTCTTTAACGAGGTGAATAATATTTCATTCAATGTTTCTCTTTTTAAACGTGATTTCTCCATAATATTTAACTGTAATTTTTCATTTTTGTAAATAACGAATTATGTTAGGATTTATTGATGCTTTGAAACTCTAATTATAACTACGTTTGTGTTTTTTATGTGAAAAATATATTTATGAGAAATTTTTATTGACATTTGACTTTTTATAACTCTAGACATATTAATGTAACATTTTACTTTTTATTTTATCTTGAAGGATAAAAAAAAATTTTTTTTCTTTTCAAATGTTACTGAGATCAGTTTTATTTGTTTGTGCTGTAAAATACAGCTGAAATAATAATAAAACTATTTTGAGATTTCTATATTAGTGAAAATAGTTGGTAAAGATTAATGTCGATTTACAAATGCTAAAAAAAAAATTGATACAATGTTGTTCAATAAAAATTCAAGTATTATTATCTACTGTATATTTCAAAAACATTTTGAATTAATATAGCCCTCTAGATCACATCTGTGTAAAGACAATTTATCTTGATATATTTTTTGAAATATCCATAGATAAAAAAATGTTATTTAAAAGATCAAATTTCTTTAAAATTAAAAACAATTAAAATAAAGAAGAAAAAATTTTTAAGGTAAATTAAATTTTATTGAGGAAATAAATGAATAAGTTATATCTTCCAAATGAAATTCATGAAAATTTTTTTTTATCAATAATTAATATTTTTATCACTCAATAAAGAAGCAAGTTATCTTTGTGAAAAAGCTTCCTTTAATTATGAAAATTTTCAATAATCAATTTTATTAAATTACTCCACTTTCATGAACTCTTAATAAATTTATATTTAACAGAATTTCCATTTAAAGTCCTAAATAATAAAATCAGACCACTTTTAATTAATAAGACATGACAACTAGCAGGATATATTCATTATTAACAAACTCATTTTATCGATTTAAATTCATTATTTATTATTTTTATTCTTCACTATTGATTCCTTTTAACAAATAAATTTATCTGTCAATCTAGATCACAATAATTTCATAATTAATTTATTACATTATTTTAAACTTATTGAATGTAATTCAGACTGTTTTATAAACTTATCAGTCTCTTCGAAGTCAGGAATTCGTAAAAATAGAAGTGCTTTCATCATTATGTATTTATTTCATTTAAGTTAAATCAATTAAATTCAACAATCATTTTATCCACCAAGATTTTACCTTCTCGACATAAAATATTATTTTTATTAGAAAAGTGTCATCTTAATTTGTTTATTACAATTTTATAACATCACTAATATTTAAGTTGTCATAAAACAGTAGTTATCACCATAAATAACTTTATAATTGATTTATCACCATAAATTTTTTCATAATTTAGTTTTCGATAAAAATCGAAAAATGAGTCAGCGTTATTTGTAATGGCATAGTAACAAGAAACAAAGAATAGTTATTAATGGGGAAAAAAGAGGAAAAATTAATTATTCCAAAATATTGATTTTTATTTTACAGTTTAAATTCAAGTCTCTTTGAAATAAATCACATAAAGTCTACTTAATGTAAAACGTTGTAAATAAACTACAGAAATTGTTTAGTCGATTTTAAAACACTTAAACTTGGAAAAAGTGACTACAAATTTTCTATAGTGTGTTTACGGTAGTTTACAATGGCTGCATTTTATGGGTTTTATTTTAAAACAATTCTCAAACACTTAAAGTTGCACTTTATGTATCAATTTGAATTAATCATTCACATCAAAATAACTTTGCTCCATTTATTATTATTATTATTATTATTTTTTTTTCTATTAAATATATATTTTTTCGTTTTATTCAGTAACAATAAGAAGAAAAAAGACAAAACATTGTTTCATAGTTTTATTAATACTCTAATAATAAAAAAATTCGATATTACAATTACAACCAATGGCTATTTTCTGCACATTTACAGCAAAATATTATCTTCTACTGAGAAATAACTGATTTTACATCACGATAAACATGACATAAAAATGTTGGATTGAATAATTAACTTATTAAAAGTACATAACAAAACGAACAATAGTAGATTTAGAGAGAAATTAAAATGATAAAAAGTAATAATAAAATAAATGTCAGTAGTTGTTATTGTATTAAATATATTCAAGCATTGATATCAATGATACCATTGCTGACACGTGAACAATTTTTTATCTCCAAAGAGAAGAGGAATAAAATTTCATAAAATTTTTTTTCCTTCTTAACTAAAGTTGTTTTAACTAATTGTGTATAAAGTTATAATTATTAAAATGATTACTTAACAATACAATAATCAGTTAAAATATACACAAGGTGATTTAATAAGCATCTGTTGATTGATAAAATGACGTTGAATATAAAAACATTGTGTGTATGTGTGTGTGTATATACCTGACGTGTCGTTTGTAACTGACAAGTGTAAATAAATAGTATACGGGAAGAGGATAAAATATCTCGTAATGTAGACACGACAAGTCTAGTCGGCATATCGCGTGATCCAAAGTTGACACTGACATTCCACGATTGTCTCCGAGTATTGACTTGCCAACAAGAGTTGAATTCCCTCGATTAATCTGCTCCGGATATCTGATATTAACTCGCATCGCTGCATATAATGATATTGATAATGATAATATAATACATATGAATATGCGTGTTAATGCTAATTTATTGATGTCTATATATGTGTTTATATTAAAACGTAAAAACAAGTTTATCAATTCTCACCTTTACTCCTCTCAATGCCCTACAATTATCCCTCACTGCTTAATCATATTTTCTTGAGTCCGTCAATCTGTGTAAATCAATTCATGGAAATTATCCGATTATTGAATTTTTTG